CAACTACGCTCAAGTTTGAGAGAGGCACCTTCATGGATCCCAGATGGTCATTGTACCAGGGGGCAGGGCGAGAGAAAGAGATGGTTCGAGTTTTTAAAGGAGCAAAGGTGTCATGGGTAGATAAAAGAGCATTGTCAAGTAACTGTATTTTGTCCTCTAGAGGGTCAGAGGAAGAGAAACAGGATAAGGAGGACAGAAATAACAGGGAGGTCACTGGCATATTAAGTCTTCATTTGTGGGACTCACTCAGCCATGTCTGTGGAATGATCAGTCATGAGCAGCAGATTCACATTGGAATCTTTCTACAGGTGAGAAATAGCAGGCAAAGGACACTGAACTCTGGGCAGGAGTGAAAAGGACAGTTTTCATGCTAGCAAATTTGTGTCAAGATCCCTAATAAAACTACAAACATCTAGGCATCAAAGACACTCACTTTTCACTGCTAAATAGTTTTCCCCCCCAAAGTCATTTATTTGAAAGAAAATTAACCTTAACCATTTCGACATTAGACATCTGCCTATGTAAGTCCACAAAGTTCCTTTCCTTCTATGACCAAAAAAGCTCTTTAAATAACTATTGGGAAGGAATCGCTAGAACTAGAAAATTGTCAACTTTGGCAAAATGACATGCAAGCAAAGATGGTGTGACCACAGACACTGTGGGTTGTTTTGTGGTTATTATTGTGAAAACAGGGTTTGCTGCCATTGAAAGACCTGCAGTTAGGCTTGCACTAGTTTGATGCAGACCTACATGAAGAAAAAAAATACAGTTTGGGTTTAAAGGAACAGTTTATTTTCTAGAAGGATAAAGTATAATAAAATATGTACAAGTGACAGGCCCACGATGGAAAATGTCATCTTGGGTTTTATGATCATAAGGGACCCTTGCTAAAATAAAAGGTGCAGTGTCAAGATGTACACCAACATCTGCTGTAAGAAATTCTCAGCAACTGCAATAATACAAACTGTGCAATTTTCCTGTAGAAACATGAGAGGTTTTTCACTGACAACATTCAATTACCACTTGGAAAATATTAAGATTCGTAAACTGAGTTGTCACATTCTTAAACGGATAGCAACCCACCACATCACAGAGGACATACTGTTTCAAGCAGAGAATTTTTAAAATTAGTCACCATGTTTTTACCTTTTCAATAGGAAACTAAGCTTAAGTTTGTAGTGCATTGGTCAATGCAAGTCTTAAGCCAACTGACCACGTGCTGAACTATGGAAACTTTTCACGTTTGGTAGAGGATTGTTTAACAAAAACACTTCATTTTTGGGAATTACTAAAAGTAGGCACAGAATTTCGACAGCTCTTTCATAAATAATGCCAAGAGTAACAAAGTAAATTCCTCTCCGACATGAACTTGACAGTTGTGCTGGCCAAGGGGGAGGGGTGGAGTTATCTGAGATCCGCTATGTTGACTGTACAGACTGTCCCTCTTGCGAGCAGAGGCCTGGGTACAAGCCAGTGGCAGACCGATTACGAAACTGTTTTGGAAAGACTAAGAAAAAGGGTTAGGGAAAAGACCCATTATAAAAAGTAGGACTATTTTTTTTTTACTCCTGTTCTCTTCTGCAAGGTCTGAGCATGATTGAATAAATAAGCTCGGCTGACTTTTGCTTCTTTCACACCCCTGTGCAGCCGCACTTACTCCAGAAAGCTCCGATCACGGCCGTCAAGAAGCCGTCATTCGCTTGTTGTAAATTTAAATCAAGGCAGTCAATCTCTATGAGCTGTGGAGAGACCCCACGAAAGTTTGTGGCTGAAAAGAGAAGATGGTGAGACAGCAACCATCAGGTGACGCAGGAAGTCATGGAAAGGACACATCTGGCTGCTCCCATGAAACAATCCGCCAGCTTCCAAACGAGAGAAGGAAGCACACGAGCCCAGCTGTGTCCACCTTTAACAATTACCCCACACAGGCAAGGATCAAGAGGAGACCGCTTGCTGCATGCAGGCATACACATTAAAACACACATACAAACCCCTGTGACTGGCAAAAAAACAGCACCCCACTTGCGCTAAGGGGAAGCATCTAGCGCAACATCACACAGGCAGCTGTTTCACTGCCCCAGCTCCACATTCCCCACACCTTCAAGCCCCCGGTCAGTAACCTGCCAATTTCTACATTTTAATGACTTGTCTTACAGGTAACTGTCTGTGCAGTAGTTCCCAGGTGAAGCACAAGAACACAGGATCTGAATAATACCACATTGTTGGGCTCGCTGTATACCTGCAGGACTGAGCTTATTCTTCCCTAACAAAAGATCAGCAGAGACCCACCACACCTTAGACAGGAGAATGGACCTGTGACAGGAGCTGTGTGGGAATTTTATTCAGGGTCATTTCTCTCAGCCCTGCTTACTAACCACTGATGACTTCCTATACCTTTAGACAGCACAAAAAACAAAATTACTGCACAGTGTGGCACTGAGGTTATTGCAGTCAATTAAAGCAAACAAGTTACATGGGCCACAAAGCCTCCTATTATGTCAACTTTATAATTCTCATGTTCAGTCAAATATTGTAACAGTTTCCCCTTAGATTTATGCATATCCTTGTTTACAATGTGTATTTCTATCTAATAAACCGCAACCTCGACAAGACAGCTACAGCAGCTGCTGTTATACATAAGCTAAGCTGTCAGGCAGAAATGAAATATTTGACTGGACCGAAGTATACAGCTCTGTTGCTCAGGATCTGCGCCTGTGGCTGGAAGATTGCCGGTTCGTATCCCGCGGCCGGCAGAGGAATCCTACTCTGTTGGGCCCCTGAGCAAGGCCCTTCACCCCAACTGTTCCCGGGGCACTCTGACCCCAAGCTTCTCTCCCTGTCTCTCATGGAAAGGGATCTGTGGTATGTGGAAAAAAAACTCCTAATACAAAAAATTGTATATGGCCAATAAAGTGATCTTCGTACAGAACCCTTCATGAGTTCAGAAACAACTAGCAGAAGGACAGGGGGAGGAAGTGCAGTCTTCATCCGTCTTCTCCATTACAAGCCCTCGATTCACCAACATCTTTGCAACCTTAAACCGAAAAGTGAACAACCTTGGCCTCTCCCAGGCTTTTCATTGCGATTCCACACAGTACTATTTATACATCGTTTGTCTTCAAAACTCAAATTATACCTGCTTCCTTTCCGCTACAGCAACAGGAAGCATGCGTGCTTCCATGCATGGTAATTTACTCAACGGCACACGGCAACATGCATATTTAACGAACTCTGCCACACCACTGAACATTGAAGACAAGCAGTTACAGACAGGCTATAATAGACAGGAAAAGGGCTGTTACCACAGACGCTTGTAAACAGGATAATTCCACTCCTGCCCTGAAGTAAACGCCATAAGAGCTTGCAGGACTCAGAAATAAATTGTGTTAAGCCCACCCAAACGGTTTCATTTGTCCAACAATTTATGGGTTTGCCATCAGCTAGCAGGAAAGATGAAGAGAAAGCCACTGAACTGGCCTTCTGTTGGAGATTAGAAACTAGCCTGTTGAATCCCTAGGCACCGATTCCAGTTCTCCTTCTCCCTTTCCTCGTGTAAGAAGTTCTTAATCATTGGTTAAAAGCTTCCATACATGCAGATGGCATTCCTGCACCAACCCCAACCCCCCCCACCCCATCTGCTCCCCTGTTAATCTGCTCCAGATCTCCATGACATTCTACATACTGTTCAAACACTGGAACTAGGAAGGATTGCAAAACATTTCAAAGAAAACAAGAGATGCGTTTTGTGTTTCCACAAGAGATATCAATTTCGAACAGCCTGTAGCAAAACAAGTTTATTCCTGTTGGATATTGTGTTGCAGGAAAATACACTGAAATTACTAAAGACAAACCCAAAGTTAAGTAAAGACTCGCATAAAGCACTTTGTTTTGTTTTTTTAAAGTGACAACAAAAGGTCTTAACTTTTCCATTAGGCTCACGTCAAAGCAGTCGTTTAAAAAAAAAAAACTCAAGCGCTTTCAGAGCAGCCTCTGAAAAGATACTTGAAAGGCAACCTGGCTGATTCCAGCATAATCAAATTTGCACAGGTGTAATTGTGCTCAGGCTACCCCATGGTCTTGCTTTAAAGGATTTGTTTACACTTGGATCTCATGTCCAAAGAGTGCTTTGACCGAACAACAGGACTGCCAGCTGCCAGGTGAAATGGCACCAGCTTGCACAGTGCAATACTCAAGCTGGGGTACCGTCAGGCTGACGAGGCCTTTCGCCAGCATTTCCTCTCTTCTGAACACACTGGACAGCCACCTCGCACAAGACACTCACTGGAGGAGCTCTCCGGGCGTGAGTCTGCGTCCATGGCAGCAGAGCTCCGCTGCTTCCAATACAATCATCCCTAGTTCGCTACCAGAGCTCTGCTTCTGGAAATGATCAGGCAGGATGAAATCGTACATGCAAATGAAGCACTTGAATAAAACTAATCGCCATTATCCATGCAGTTCTGAGTTTCTGGTCAACCAGCACTTTTCCAATCCAATCCTGAATCAAGCCCTGAACTAGAGGGCGCCAACTAGCATCTGATCAGCATGACTTCTTTCTCCCCATTCTTACCTAAAGACGATTTCTTTCTGCACAGCATTCCCGGGGAAAGGATATAAGCATTTAATTACTGCTTCAAACAGCTCCTTAAGGCATGACAGCGCAGTTACACAAAGATCACAGTGGGGAAAATGCCTAAATAAAGTAGAACAAACCACTTCATCTGCTGTAGGAAAACAAGTAGTTCAACTGGCCTGGGAAATAGCAAGACCATTAGATTGACCTCCAGCAGCCACGAGCTTTTTTGCTTTAATTCAAAAGGGGAAAAAAAAAATCAATCTTCTCTGAGACTGAACATTGCAGAAAGGCATATTAAGAGCTCTAATCAGAGGTAAATTAACCTGAAGATTTCACGCCTACAGCACAGGAAATATTCTCGTGGTTCAGCACTTTCCTATACGTATTTGGACAGGAGAGGAGGGAGTGAACGGAAGCGTCGACTCACATTGCCATGGTTGATGAAGCCGTACTTCCTGGCGATCAGGTCAGCCTGCTCCACGCCCCCTGAGATGTGGACAGCCCACGTGTTTGTGTAAACCTTCTGCTCTGTGGACGGCCTGACTGCGGAGGCCAGAAAGACCATGAGAGTCCCAAACAGCAGCAGCAAAGCCAGTCGGAGATCCATCGAGAGGTGTTGCAGGTCTCCAAACCCGTGTGTTTCCAATATAAAAAGCTCCTACAACCCAGCTACCTTCCAGCTAGCCACCTCTGCGCCGGGCACATGTAACCACACAGGCTGATCAGCACGCAGATCACCTAGGAAAAAAAAATACAAAACAAAAAGGCAAGGTTAATATAGCCCCTAGGCACATATGCACAACTCATTTCCTCCATCTTTACTGACCGCTAGGTATATATATATATGTATGTATGTAAAGGTGAAAAACATTCATAAATTACGTGCATCTCAGCCTGAAACCTTAAATGTCAGGCCAGCACACTAAAAGAAAAAGTTCAGTTTATTTCCCTATTAGCATCCAGAACACCCTTGCCCTGCACAATAGAGATGGATCACAGATTAGAGCTCATTTTTTCAGTAGCAATAAGCCCCGAGACAACTCTTGCAGCTATCAGCAGCCAGGGATTCATTAAAAAGCGAGAACGTGGCAATAAAAACACAGAAATGTACAATCTTGGTATCGTCAGAGCAGAAACATTGACTAAATAAGACTTGTCTGATAAGAAATTAGAAACATTAGCAGTCTTATAAACCCAGACTAGCTTACTGTAAAATGGGCGTTTGCTGAATATTTCCATTAAACTGTTAAATGCATCTGTGCTTCTACATTTCCAAAAAAAAGCCAAATCGCTAGTATTATTTCCAGAGGAGGAGGAGTAGGAGGAGCTCCACCTAAAATACAAATTATTTTATACCGTTTGTAGTCTGTTCAGGCAACATTACAGGCATGGAGGCATAATTTTCAACAGCTCAGGATCTCGGTCAAAACAGAAACGCATTCACACAAGAGCCATTCCACTGACTTTGTCAGTAACGTGAACATGCTCCTAAAACTTCAATAAAAAGGAAACGCTCACAAAAAAAAAATGCATCCTTCACCTGAACAAGAAGACTTTTGGCATTTTGTGAGATTCTCCAATTACCTCCAAGAGCTACAGTTAATTTTTCATAGCCTTCTAAGGAGGATATCCTTGTGAAAACAAAAAAGTAAATCCATGTCAAATTATAAATATTCAGTTTCCATAAAATGCAACCACAACCACTGTCACTTCCTGGATATTTCCCTCATGTCAGAAAACTGTGGAGTAACGGAAGTCCCTTCACATACATTATTACTCCCAGCTAACGAATCCTTCCTGCTGGGGTTCCAAGGACTGAGAAACTTAGCTCACTTGTTGAGACTCTGAAAGATTAGGATGAAAAATACATGGTCTTCAACCATGTTCATCTAGACCACAGCCACTTTTCCACGCATTTGCCCATTTTAAAAAAAAGCTGTGCTTTAAGAGTCAAGATAAAACACTCTTGGGAATGTGGACAGTGAAAAGACCTGGACGGCAGAAAAATCACTGGTTTAATATAACAACATTCAGGCCCTTTTTGAAGATGTTCAAAATGAGTACCTCTGCTCATATCCTACCATCATACCGTGGTAGAGAAAGAAGAAACACTACTGCAAAATATATAACTGCAAGAAAATCTCAGTCAAAACATAGTTCTGTAATAACACAAGTTTCCATTTTAATTGAGTACATTCAAAGCTGTAATTTGCGCCGGTGTGTGATCCAAATTTTAAAGGAAACAAAACCTCAAAAGATGAGCTCCTGATTATGCACAGGAAGTCATTCAAAAACTTAATTTCCTTTCCTGTTGATAAGAAGTAACCTAATTTTAAATGCTGTTCTAAAGGTTCAAATATGGTGTTCAGTTTTGGTTTTCATATCACAAAAAGAGGACATGATATCTTTAGAACAGAAAAGCAACAGCTATGGTTCCTGGTCCAAGTGGATTTTCAGAAATATATAAACTGGATCAAACCAGGCAGCACAAGGACACAAGGTCTCTAATGGATGAAGAACGGGATGTTTCTTTGCATAGAGTAGTGGATATTTAGATCCAACTTCCTGATCAAGTGTGTAAAGCTCAACTAATTCAAGAAAAGCAATTAAAACAATTACAACAGACAAGATGGACTAGGAACCTTCTCTTACTACCAAGGCACCCAGGGTCTGTAACATGCAACATTTCTTAAGGAGGATCCTCAGCTTAACTGTCAACTCGGCAAAGCCTTTCACTGAACTTCACTGGAACTGGATGTTATAAAGAAGCAAAACATCAATAGAGGCTCAGTTGTTTAGAGGTTAAAACGTATAGGGGAGGCCACTCGGCCCATCTAACCCATTTGGTAGCTGAAAATAATCTACTAATTACCAAAGAAGCTGGATGGGCCAAAGGGCTTTCTCGTGTTCTTTAATGCTGCTCTTTCAAAAAAACATCCATTATTATAAGGGAAGCCATTCATACCGATGAGGGTCACGGCAAACCAGGCCCATCCTGCAAGCACAGGGCGGGACAGAGCACGTGACTGCTCCTGAACCTATAATTACTCAGACACAGAAAGGACAGACACAGCAAAAGAACAAAGCATAGATTGTTTTGTTTTTTTTTTTAAATACAGTGCTTGTTCCCTTCGAGATCAAACACTGCTGGAATGACTCCTCTTCCTGCAGGGCAGGGATTATGAGAAACCCGAAGGAAAGCAAAGCGATCGGCAGCCCTCTTTCAGTTCGATTTCATCAAAGACCGAAGCACATCAAACTGGATCTGCAAGGAGAGTTCCTCAGGGGAGCCTGCACACAGGAATAAAACTTCCCAGGCAAATATGCTAACTGCACAACCTCAGACTTGGAGCTCATCAAGGTCTGAAACAACCCTGCAGTTAACAGAGGACAGCAGGAAGCTTGTCTGAAGTCCACCACCAGATGGGACATGTTGGCACCTATGGTAAAATGTGCAGATTAAAACTCCCCAAAAAATAAACTGCCATCAACATTAAGGTGGAGAGGACTAGACATGCAGGCGAGTGTACAGAACATGTCATAAAGCAGGCTCTCATTAGAGCACACATTTAAGCCAAAAATAGCAAGCCTGAGTACAGCAGTGAGTCCTGGAGTTAATGGCACAGTCAGAGGGAACAGCTGGCCTAGATCTCTCGCTCCTAAAACCTACGGGGAAAAGAAAAAGGCATTCCTACAAGGCATGCAAAGACACCCCAGAAAATCGCACTTAAATATCCCAAGAATATTTAAAAATCACAAGACATAATTAATTAACTTACAAAACGTGGTGAGCCAACACCAAAGCAAACCAAGTTCATCAATAAACATGCTTCACACCAAATGGATGTTTTTCAGTAAAAAGATGCAAAGACTTAGGTCTGTACATCGCAAGCACTTCTTCACAACAGGTCGCAGAACACAAACCTAGCAGCTGCTGAGTCTGACTAAGACATCTCACTTACAGAGAAAACAGCACTTCATTACACAGCTAATGAAAAAGAAACTATTTTTAATAGCTTGGTCATTTGCACGTGTCATGGGAAGAGGTATTGTGAGCCTCCAATAGAAACAAACAAGCTAAGATCTTGCATCATAAAGTCAGGACAAAAACAGCAACTAGTCTTCAGCTGCTGTAAATTCAATTTATCGTGGCGAATGTTTGCTCAACAGAGGAACAGATTTGACGCTCGAGTGCCAGTATGTTTTTAGGTAACAGTTTAAGAAACACCTGCCTTACAGCGTAAATTGGTTTATTTTTTCCCCCACTTACTTCCTGCAACAGAAGAAGTTCCACTTCAGCAGTGGTAAAAAAAAAAGGTTTTACAAGATACTGCCTATAGGCTCCATTTCCCTCTTAATATTATATCCCACCATACATGAATTTGTGCAGCACGGTACACATGGTATTTCTGCAGATATTTACCACTACTTTCACAGACTATAATGAGTCTTCATCTAGTACTGGATTAGAAGTCAATAAGTCCAGGACTATTGCCGGCATTGGTATATGAAAACCATAACCCTCGTCTAATCAATTAAACATTTAAAAAACATTTCTGCTTTTTTTTAGCCAGACAGTAGAGTGATAGCACTGCTTGAAGTAAATGTATCACAGAGGAAAGAGGACATACACAGCACAGTCTACTCATAATGAGCTTCTTAGGTACTGAATCTACCCAATGTGTTATACTTGCAGCATTTGGACACGAAACACCTAACCACTTAAATCAGTCAATAAGTGCAATCTACCGATAGCTAAAAAAAAAAATTAATGTCGCTAGAGAGCGAAGGAAAGTAATCTAGCACCATAGTAAAATGATGCATGCTGTTCTGTTGGTAAAGCATTAGAACTGTTCTAGGGAGTGCTGATTAATAGATTTGTTTTTGAGCAAGCAAAATACACAAGAAATATTTTTCCCCAATAAGGCCACTGCCAGTAAATAAACTTTTAAATGACTCAGAAGCTATGCAGCCTGCACTTAACCACAACTCACAGATATACAACAGTAAGGCATGCAGTAAGCTACCTTGTACTGCAGGACCCAAGCTGAACCCCAGCAGCAAATTGCAAACAGATCACAAAATGCACAAGCAGCACTTTAGCATTTCAAGGACTTTGTTCTGCCAGTTGTGACAGACCCCACTGCTATCAGTGCAACACCACACCAGACCATACCACTGGTGGAGCCCAGCCTCGTGACTGGCCCGTGGCAAAGAAAGGCCTTTACTGCCACTCCTGCAGCACAGAGAGCACCGACGCAAAATACCTGCTTACCTGCTCCCCCTCCTGCATGTCTGACTAATTAACAACCAGATAACATAAGGGAGAGCTTTTGCAGATAAAAGGCAACTCGGGCCACAGTGCTTAACATTTTGAACACGTCAACCAGTGCTCAGCAAAAGTAAGAATGTTAAATATATGTACAGGAACTACAGACCGACTAGATTTATGTGGCCAGAAATAAGTAACACACAATAACTAAACTTTTAGATTTTAAGCTTAAAAAAAACAACCAGAGAAATGGTGGGATTTCTGAACGATTTTTCCTTGTTACAACAAAAATGTTTAAACTCAAACTCTCCAGGGAGAAAGCAAAACCTCTCTCCTTGACTGGTTGAAGCTGGAGCCAAGACTTTTCAAACCAGTCTATCTGTGATCCAGTCACGCCAAGCAGAAAACCTTCTGCAGCAAAATGATTAAAATTATTTTCATTCCCCAATTAACATTTAGTTCCTAAAACCTCAACTATACATCATATACCTCATTGCAAGACATTTTTTATCTATTTCATCCAATTCAGGCTCAAGGGAGAACAAGAGCCTATCTCAGCAAGCAAGTCAGATAGCGGTACAAATCTTCAGTATTACCACAGATATAGAGAAGGATTTTCATACAGTGTGCGCAATACATAAATGGCAACATTACCTTTGTGTCAAACTAAAAGCTTTAGACTACAAAAGATTGAGTAAGCTATAGCACTCCCTAAACGTATTTTTCTTGTGAAACAGAGCTACACGCCAGGCTTCTGAAATGTGTTTTGAACAAATAGATCTGGTATTCATAATGTGAAAGTTTTACAGCTGCCATCAGTTTTATTCCCCACAAATATGAAATAATTTCAATGCAACAGAGCGGGTTCATCTACTCCCCCCCAGCTCACACACTCCACAACAAACCCTTGCACACTTACAGGTCAGGGTAGCAACATCCCCGGTCAAGCTGGAGAGCACTGCCTGAGTGGTCTACAAAGAAACAAACTCGACTCTGTCAAATAATTCATCGATTCTTTATACAGCGTACAAAATTTGTGGCTCGCTTTGCTCTTTAATTTTTTTTTTTAATCTGGACACAAAGGTCAGATCTCAGCTTTCATTTACACAAGGAACCTGTAACAGAATATGAAGTGCCGGGGTCGGCTCACCTGTGGGGTCCTGTTCACCAGTCTGGAGAGCAAGGCAGTGAGCAGGCTGAGTGAGGCACAGGGCAGATTGTGATGCACACTTAACCAGCTTGTCTGACTTGTGCATTCCACCCCGCTTCAAACTGTACCCGCCCTCCGTGACCTCATTCTACAGCCCTTCCAGCTACAGAGAGGCTCACACACATTCCGGGCCAGCCACAGAACACACCCGCCAGGGGAGACGGATTGTTAATAATATTTCCATGCATGGAGTCAGCCTTGGAGGAAGGCCATGCAAACTGACAGCAATCAAACTGCATTCAGCACAAATAAAACTACAGAGAATCATAACCAACTTTCCCCCCCCCCCTTTAAAAAACAAACTCCGGCTTAGGCAGCTGGGGAATGTTAAACACAATTATGCAATATATATATATGTAATGATTTACTGAATTGTTATCAATTCGTTTTTAGAAGCGTTTGTAGGGGGGGGGGGTATTACATTCTTGTAATGAGTGTAATTTTTAAATATCAATCACAGTAATTTACATAAGTTGTTCTTGGTTCTAGAAATAATAGAAAACTCTACAATCAAGCCGTTCCCGAACATGAAACAAGTAACATGAAAAGTGAAGATGTGAATATAAATTTGTCCTTGACTGAAACGCCGTTACACACCCTGTAGAGCCGAGGAAAAGCTTTCCCTGTCAATCTAGCATGTCACTCTCCTTAACAAGCAAGACAGTGTGTCCCAACGGGCTTAAGGACACTCACTAGGTGAGCAGCAAGGTTAAGATGCTTTTCAACAGCAGCAATTCATTTACATCTCGTTTCCAATGCAAAATAAAGAAGGGTACACATGGACGTGTATGTAAATTACTGGAAATAATTAAGATCTTAATTTCCATCAGTGCGCAGTACTACCAAGGCGTTCAGTTTGATCACGGAGCCCCTCTGTTCAACGGTAACGCAAGACTACTTGGGTGAGGTCCGACATGCAGAGGCAGGCTGGACGACCCAGGGCGTCTTTTTTAACCGGTTAAAGGCTTGCGCAAGAGGACACCACAGACAATTCCGGTCCAGTGAGAGACCAAGCCCGGAGACAAAAGAATTACGCACCGATTAAGTGTCTTATTAGCACACCGGCTGAGTTGTAGGAGACGTCAGGAGCCAGCCTCTTCGCGCTGACTCACGTCGCTTCCCGCGCCTGGAGCGGCTACAATGCCACACACGGGAAGATCCTCGCACCTCTGCGCGCTACGAGAATAAAAGATGCCGGATCAAGGGATCTCTGCCTAATGCTTGCATCTCTCCCGAGGACTGGCAAGCAAACTTCCCTCATCCCCCCCTAACTCCAACCACGGTGATCAAACCTCCCCCCTCCAAAAAAACCTCCAACGCGTCAATTACTGCTATTAACTCAAAAGATGTTAGAAAGAGGACGTCAAGACAATCTCCCTACCGTGACAAAATAAATCCTAACAACTGTCTGTAAGCAGATCTGTTTTAAAGACGATCACGCCTTGCACTACAGACCTCAGATACTGCGGTTTTGGACTGGATCCTGCAGGCGAGGTGTGTTAAATACCCCCCAACAAAGGGTCATTTTATAGAGACAACATGCGGTGTACAATCACCGCGAAGAGAACCACGGGCTCTGCAATTAGGTAGAAAATGCTAATGCGGTGCCAAAAACTTCGCAGACTTATGTAGGTGATACTGAAAACAACCTGCGAATTTTAAGACCAGGCATCGCAGGTAAATAACCGCGAAAGGCACACAGATTATTTCCATTTCGGGGACAAACTCTTCAGCCTTACACATTGCCGTCCGTTCGGACAGCAGTGCGAACTCAAACATAAAACAAGATCACGATAAGATCTGCCAGTAAAAAAAAAACATAAGCTTTATATCTCCCCATGCCTTGAGTCGCGTCAAGTTCGCCTTTCACGAACTCATTCTCCCAGCCCGAGAGAAAAAGGAGGGGGAAAAAAAGAGAAGCCTAAAACTATCCAGCTGGGGAAAAACCATACATGAAATCGAGAAAACACCCCTTCCTCAGTTCAATTCAGAAACAAGTCGCCTCAAACTAGAGGGGTTCAACCTTTTGCTTCGCAAAGCTTTTGAGTAAGATTCTTTCATTTGTATTTTTGCATTTCCATTAGGCTGCACCAGGCAATTGCTAACTTAAGTTTTAAAATTCAAAGTGAAACTGGGAAAAAGCGTTTTAAATTCTGAGTTCCGGTTTTAAATCTGTATCGCCCAAAACATTTGGTCAGCTCGATGATGTTATCCAAAACAAAACTCGCGTCTCAGAAGGCAAGGCGGTTATAATGTAAGCATAATAAATCTTCATTGAACAAGGGTCAGTTATAAACCTCCGATCCACGCCAAAAGCTAAAACTACAAGAAGGCACAACTGAGCAAATTCAACAGATCCACAAGTCTCTTGCCCCGTGAAGGTCCACAAATTCGGCGTGAGTGATTAAATAGATAATAGATAGTAAATAGATTAGACACAACACACCTCTAGAATTACAACTGCTCCGCGGCGAGTCCGAGAGCCACGGTGTTCTCCTGCAAACTATGTAACAACACACTACTATGTAACTACACACTACAACATTAATAACAATAACTAATAAGAAGCTTTACAGGAATAAGTTAATTCACGAATCTCAAAGAGATAAAAAAAAAATAAGAAAGTCCTGGAGAGATTTTTTTAAAGGTTATCATGAGCTGGGTACTTAGCCTGCAAAAGCCTCTTATTAGGTCTGTTCATAAGAGGACCATTGTTTTTTCTTTAAAAAATGTAAGCGACATCTTAATATGCAGAACTAGAACTTCGTAAAAGAAAGAACAGTATACCTTTCCAAAGGTACCTCTTGAGTTACTCTTGAGTTACACGTAGTCACTGCTCACTGCGTAAACATTTCACGATTTTGAAAACTTCCGCTTGGATACCGCTCGCTGTCTCGTCTGCTGGCACCACCGAATTGCGAAACACCATCTAATAATACGATGCTCTTCAAAACTGCGGGCTCAGAAGGGATATCCCCGACTGGCGCATGTCTGGATGCCTTCAAAGCTTGCGTGTCTGTTCCCGATTGCACATTTCCGATCAACTAACCTCAGACCTTTCAGAGTCGATAGCGCGCTTATCCAAACCCCGCTTCTGTGCACAACTACAACGTCACAGTGAAAAGCACGAATCACCGGGAGACAGTAAATGAAAGACATCTGCCAAATCTCTTGAAATTGAACTTGCCTGAATATGTACACTATTGTTCCTTCCTGTGACGACCCGCAGGGCTGTCAGTACCGCGCAATAAACACGGCGCGATTCACCAGGTTGGCACCGACCTGTGAAAGCCTACAACACCGGCCAGTCAAAAAGTTTCGCGTCAGGGGTTTGCAACTGTGCTCTCGGGCACCCGCAGTACCCTCCGTTTTTCCACACTCCAGCTGAGCCCTGGATGCTGCTTGCTCAGGGAAGAACAGTTAGGGTGTTTTCCAGATCTCACGGGCCAACCCCTCCGCCCCAAGACCAGAGTCGCAGACCCGGCGTGAAGCCACGGACACCGGGCGTCCCAGTGCCCTACTCACCCCCAGGACTTGCCCCCGCAGGGATCTCCACTTGCTCCCGCGTCGCGTGTTTGAGCTTTCCCGGTTACCCCTTGGTTATCTCTCCGTCCGTGGCACTACCCTTAAGGGACTCCCTGTCCGGTCCTCCCCTCCGCCCGAACCGGAATACTACTCCGTCTTCAGGTCCGGCTCTGCTGCTCTCCAAGCACACCTATCGCTCGCTTTGCCCGTCTTCCTAACCCAGGGCTTCTTTTTTTAAAAAACAAAAACAAAATTGCGCTTGGCCCCCCCAACACACCCCCTACCCCCTACCCCCTCACCCTAAGATCGCTCCCGGTCAGATCTCCCGAGGCGAAAGCGCTTGGGACTGCGGTCGGGCTCGGCGCCTCGGATTAAGCCGCTGCTCTCCGCCTCACAGCCGGCTGCAGCTGCGGCGTCATGTTTCAGCTGCAGCCCGGCTTGCGGCTCTCCACTGGCGGCGACCTCCCAACACAAACAGCCAGTCCCTGAAGCCGGGAAGGAGGCGATGGACGCGACATGCAACCCGACGCACGGCTCCGGCAGCTCCGGTTTCTTGGCCCCTTACCGGGACCGATACACATTACGTAGCGGCACTCCACATGCACCTCCCGGGTCTCCTAAAATAGCGAAACTTTCTCGTGCCTTGCCCCCCTGATAAGTCTCTTTTTAGCTCCTCCTCGTCTGCATCTTACAACGCGTAAAATTGCCTCTCCTCGAAAGCGCCGGTCACATTTTAAACATCTATCCTACTTTATGTGTTCAAGGAATTTCTTATGCCACAGGTAAAAAAAAAAACAAAAAAGGCAAAACGGGGAAAAAAAACTCTACCCCCCCTGCCCCCCTTTCCGCGCAAGACACGACCTGGGCGACAAGCGGCCCACAAACCTCAGGAAACACGTCACAGCGAGGGAGAACACGGGCGTGGAACAAAACAAGCTCGGGCACGCCTTCTTCCCAGCCACGGGCCTCCTCGCCTTGGTGTCTGAGGATCTAGTGCCACCTAAGGGGCTGCGGCAGAACTGCAGCCCGCTCCTGCTTTCTCACTTCCCAGATCGATCGGGGGGGCTTGTCGGCGCGGCCTGCTCCTTCTGTGCTGCCGGAGAGGCTGAGCCGATCGATTATCTCGTCCATGCGTGAAGGGGGCTCGGGGAATCGGCTTTAACTACATAGCTGCAGGGCAGTTGGCTCTAGAATATTTTCACAACAGGGTTGTTGATACTGGACGAATTGCCGATCTCAGTCAGAAATGTGGAATTTACAACTTACTCCAAATGCATCACGCTCTGAAGCAGTTTGAGACTTCACATTTTTGTACTCTCTCTCCTCATCTGTTTGCTGTTCAAGACTAAAAAGGTTTAGTTCCTCTAATCTGATACTGCTTTAAAGCCAGTAAATTAAACTCATTGCTTCTTCTTTGAACTGATTCCACAGAAACGATATCCTCCTTGCAATGGGGCAACCAAAACTGTACTGTATGTAGTATTCTAAAATGTAGTCCTACTGCCATTGTCTAATTTGAGCAACTTTTCTAAAGTTGACCTCAAAACCAAGCCCAACACTTTATTGGAGCTTTTTCTCTTGCTTTCACAGGCTGTCTGGATGTGGACACGGAGGTGTCAGCGTAAATGCCGAAACTGTTTTCATTAAAGTCGCTTATACAAATGAGAGCAGGCCTTTTTTTTGCCATGTTCATTTAAGTTTGTTGTACATCATGTAACTAGTACTGGTACATCATGCTGGTCAGTGCGATACAACCCCTCTAGAAGAGCCAGTTGAACCTCAGCATACAAGGAAGGAGGAGCACACAGAGAAAACCCCCACAAATACAGGGAGAACATGCAAACTCCAGTCCAGGGCTTCAGAGCTTCAATGCCGGAGAACTTAGTACCCTGTAGTTGCTTTTACCTGGAGGTAATATTTAGCAGTGGTCTACATTAGGTTTGACTTCTCTACAGGTTCCAACTGAATGACCTCATCATTGGCTTAATTGAACTAATTTATCAGTTTCGCACAGCACTAAGGGGGGTGCTTTAAAGAGAAATAGGAAATCAGAAGACACACCTCCCTGTCCTATGGTGTAAATGTAATGTGGCATTCAATGTCATGACCATATCTGCTGGAAGGCAGGCCTGAGTTTTGCATCAATCATCTTTATTCTGCCTTTTTTCAGCGATATGGAAATGACGCTATCAATCTTCCTGCTCTCGCTTTTCTCTGCCCTGCTCCCCGGTAAGCGTTACAAGAACATTAAGGCATGTACCTCCAGATTGAGAGAGTCTCCCCCCAAAAACGCACAGAATAGAAAACTCCGCCTACAACACCCTCACACACAGATGTTTTTTTTTCAAAATAACCCGTGAAAAAAAAAAAATGAGTTTCAAGTTGAGTGTTATTATTTGTTGTTAATTTGTCTCTAAGTTGATATTTCCTTGATATCTTTGTATGGAGCATACATGCAAATAAGCAATTAATCGCACTTGAGCGTGTGACAAGTAAACTGAGCTCTGACCTTTTGTGCAGACAGCACTTTAATTGCAATATCGATCCTTGTAGATCAGACACGAAGGATCTGGCTGTAGTAAAACTCTGGAACTGAACATATTGGAGAGAGCCGAAAGTTGCGTATCCCAGCCGTAACGGGACACGAAATCCTGTAGTCACTGCTTCTGCACAATTCGTGCAGACACATAATCATCCGGTTTACAGGATTTCATTATAGACTAGTCAATTATTGAAAAGTACTGCATTAGCTGTGTGCACGGCCATCTTGTTTATTTTGCTTCCGAGCACGAAAACCTCAGTACGGTCTTGCATGTTTATTCCAGAGAAGGATTCCTTAAAGTTCACCTCTTCTTGTTAACTCCTACGGTGTTACGTATGCACCGATAACAAATACCTTCTTACTCAAATTAGAATCACTAAAAGGGAAAGTAATAGTTTCACCGCTCCGATAAAGCTTACATTTTGGACTACCGTAAATTACAAGTGAAAGATTATTCACTGTAATATATTATAGAACAGTTTACACAGATACGACACCTGAAGAAGGCTCCACGGCCGAAACGTTGTGTTTTTTCTCTCTTCTTTTTTTCAGCATGGAATATACCTATTACTTGTTACGATAGTATAACAACCTACTTCTTTTAACAACTCTAGGTATATACGACGTTCCTACTGTACATACCTCCATGAACACAGTACTTTAAAAGTGAAGTGCAACAATGTTTCATGATTTAAGCAGCTGGTTGAGCCGAGCACCTTAAAACGAATCGTATTACCTTCTCAGGAAATATATTTGAACCCAGTGCCATTTAAAAAAGTAATGACGTAAATAGCTCAGCATTACACATGAATTTAAAATGCTTGACAAAACAGGCATGTTTAAACGACATACTTGCCTTTACAGTGTTGGTATCACAGTGTCCATGTTTTCAAAATAAAAAGAAAATTCGCAGGAAACGAAAAAGTAATGACCAGCGAAACGACGTCTCAAAGTAGAACGGGAATTACCGTTCCAGATAAAGATTTAATTCCACCTGAGGCAATCGTGGGTTGAACACTAATCACATTCAGGTGGGTATAGATCAAAGTGCACATACATTCACACAGGATGGTGTTCGCATGTTTTTTTTAACAAAGCCTTTTATCTTGCAGATGAATAAAGTGATAACTCCTTTCTGGTTTTTAAGAAGACCTTTATTGGTAAACATAATGCCAAAATAAAATTACAGTTTCGAAGTTGTTTTTAAAAATATTTAAAATATAAGATTCAAATTAAACACATTTCTGTGTTGTCTGTGCTAAGCTGCTGTTGCACTGCAATTTCCCTCACGGGATCAATAAAGTATCTATCTAAAAAAAATATTCTAATTAGAATTATATATACAATATCAATAATTACAATCGCCATTTCCCTATAAATGATACATTGTCAGTCTTTGCCCACAATGTGCTTGAATCCGAAACGTTGTCCAAAGGATCGTCGTATTACAAAAACAGCAATATGACAAAAGTATTATTTCTTACTTTCCATTTTTATTAATAAAGCCTACGAAACTTTTATACTGCATTAGCGACATTTCAATAAAGATGACAATTTATGTAATTTGGGCAATGCTAATAAATCACGTTTCGGGTAAAGTATTAAATCACCCCCTTTTCGAAAAGCATAAATATTTGATTCCGTGAGCATTAATTACGGTCTCAAACACAACACTTATTAACATTTTATTTTCACACTTCATCGAAAGCATGACGTCTCATCCCCCAGCAATCTCTTTAAAATTTTAAACTTCAGAAATGTGTGCCAGTGGGTGGAATTTCATGCCGTTCTGCACAATTCCGCCAATCAGCAACCGAGATAGTGACACTCTCTACGGTACACCAATCACAGCCCTTTATTCTGGACTTCGTCATATCAGAGACGGTCTATGGGCCATTTAGTTGTGTTAAGCCCGCCTTCTGTCGATTGTGGTCCAATGAGAAAGGTGAATTTTCAGATTGTGGCCTATGGGAGTAGAGTGGGCGGGCGGTTGAGTCCGGAGCGCCAAGAGTTTGAGTTGAGTAACCATAGGGCAAAGATGGCGACTATGGGTGAAAGTGTTATATGTTTTTCTTTTTGTATTGAAGGATAATCTGAGTTTTTGGTGTGCGAGAAGGTATTTTAGAGAGATTACGGATTGCAAAAATAGGGTAGGGCGAATTTGAGTTACCGCGTTGTGTGTAAGATAGTATTTTGACACCAGCCTGGTTTAAATGTTATCACTTGCTTGGCATTCAGCTCCTTGCATACGTGTTATGGTTACGTTTATAGATTTTGTTAAAGCTTTTGATAGTAACTGAACCAATTGGCTGAAAAAAAAAACATGTATGTCATGCCAGACCTCAGCAGTGATCGACTAGCGGGCGAAAGACGTTGTGCGTTGTTATGTAGGTGATAAAAATTGAATCTACAAGGCGGTACAGATCCTTGTTTGTCACTTCTTTACGAAACGAGAAAAGCAATCGGGAGTCATGGTTTCCTTTAATTTGGTATTCGTGATTGACATTTCCGATCGGGGAAATAATAGGTCTGGCGATGGTGGCGTTCATATCAGACCGCATCTTCTGAAACAGGGCGTGCTGAAAATCCTCCTCTATTTCGGCTGCAGATTCGGTTTTGAGAAAGTCCGATGGGGCTATAAATTTTACGACGTTCACGGAGGCCGATGTATCGTATCCAGGGCTTCCGACTTCAAAGAACTTCGGGACAAGACTTTCGAGGATTTTGAAGGGGAATTTCAGGAGAAACTCGAGGAGAAAAGGGTTAGAAATACGGCAGCGGCCCCGGGTAACTCGCTCATAAACCCGGTCCGATCTGTCCACACAGTATTGAAAGAGACTTTACTGGATTTCCAGTGGGACAGACCAGATATTACCTCCCCGACCAAGATAGCGTTGCGTCCCAGAAGACGGCTCCGGGCTGAAAGTAAAATGACCCCACACCTCACTTTGGCAGAGGAGGACCTGTCGGGGAAGAGTCAAAATATTTTGTTCCTCGTCTCCGCCTGTCCGCGCTCCCGGGGGGAGGTGGAAGAGTTCCTGACGCGCCCGGGGGCCTGCGGAGAGCCTCGCAAAGAGCTGGCAGAGCGCATCCTGCCCAGGGCTCTCCAAGAGATGGTCGCCCAGAATAAAGTCGTCCTTCACTGGGTGGATGCAACAGTCAACTCCCATGTAAGTCGCTTTAATTTCCAAGAGTTGTCAAACTACCCGTTTACTTAGCGAAACCGCTCTTCAATGTCACCTTTTGGTCGGATTGATTCTATAATATAATTCTAATGTTCTTAACTGGGTGGAATTCAGCCTTTTGAGAGAGAGGAGTTTATCTGCCACCCGTACATGTGCATTGGGATTCTCCTTCGCGCTGTTCTCTTGTGGTGTGTACAGTGCAATAGACCACACCACACCGTAGGCACATTACATAATGATATAGTAAAGGATCAATAATGACCGTCGCACAATAGTACAGGTCAGTGAACACACACGGGACAGCAGATCTGTGACAGCCATTGAGACGTGCCGAGTGCAGGTGGGAGTCAGATGCTCCTCTGTGTACTTGCAGGTGTGCAGGCCTGCCGACCACACTGGCTGCGAGTTGGTGTCGGAGGTGCTGAGACAGGTCGGCGGGAGCGTCCTGCCCTTGGATGCTCTGCTGTGGCTGTCGGAGCCCGGGAAGAGCGGCCTCGGAGGACCGGCACAGAGCTGGGATCACAAGCGGCCTCTCGCCCGCGGAGGAAGAGAAGCCGTCTTCCCTCTGGACTCCAGCCTCAGCTGCCTTCTGTCTTCAGAGCAGCTATACCGGGTTGCCTTTCCCAGCCAGACTGGAGTGCTGCAGTGGGGAGCAGGTACTGAGCCTCCGACTCTTTAATCAGCTTAAATAACAAGTAACTCATGCTAGGTGAGAGTCTGACACCCCAGCAGAGGGAAAGATGGAGATCAATGTAAGGTAAATGAGAACTGCATCCTCGTATGACTGCTGTACATATTTTTCTTTGGGGTTTTGCTACTCCAAGGTGATCGTGATTTTATTGAGTCTTTATGGTTTAGGAATGGATGTAAAGTTCCTGTTACTTTGATGTTACCCATCAGAGACATTTATTTTTTCCCCACTCTGGTCTAAGCTGTGCTTCACATGTCTTGCAACTTGCAACTTATAAAACCCGCAATGGCTTGAACTGCTGTGCATTGGGAGCATTTCTGCTCTGCATCTTGCAGTTGACAGTGAATGCCAGAGCTATGCATCCTCATTTCATGTGTGTTTTGCATGCAATGTACAGGAAAGGAGAGCAAGTCCTGTGCTGTCTCCCTGGAGCCCATGTCCCTCAGGCAGAGGGTGCTGCCCAGCTCGGTGAACATCACACTTCACGGAGTTCTGTCGGAGTGGAGCGCTCCGGCCCTGGGGGGGCTGAGCTTGGAGGGCTGGGTGTTGCACGACTCCCGGGACCCTGCAGAGACGGCTGCCGAGTCTCTGTTCCTCCAGCTTCTGAACGAACTTTCTTCACAGGCTCTTCACATGGTGAGCGCTCGCTTGGGGAATTATTACACCGCAAAGAGTAAACGTTCCCCAAATATCATGCCTGGAAAAAAGCATGTGTGTGTCGATATCTGTTGTGGGGGGAACAAAACTCAAAATATATTCAGGTAGTTAACGTGAGAAGGTGTCATGGTCTCCTGAGTAAATGCATTTTCACGTCTTTCAAGTATGTTTGTTGCACAACATGTTTTTGTTATTTGGCTTGTTTTCTTACAAGGCACCAGCATGTGAAAGATTTTTTTGATGTTGTTTTTGTTGTGCATGTTTGGCAGTGAATCCCCAGCTGTTACCTTACTTTATTAAGCACATGTTCCTTACTGTATAAGGACTCAGATGTTAAGTTCCACCATCATGTTGTAGAGGCACTGCTTGATCCTTGTCTATCCCAGTTTGCGGAGGTAGAAGGGAGTGACCAGGGCCCCCCCTGCACGGCAGTGTTGTCCCCTCTCTCGGCCTCCACGGGTCTGCTCACCGTCCTCCAGCCTCAGCTGGCTTCAGCCCAAGGCCTTGTGCTCCAGGGGGCCACTGAGCCCTCCTCCGAGCTGCCCGACATCGTGGCCAGTGTCCTGAACCACGTGTACGACTTCGTGGAGGACAGGGCCGAGGGATGCCCTGGTGAGCACTTCTTCTTTAACTTATGAGACCATTTTCTCCTAAAACTACACACCTCTCGTAAACCAAGCTGGAGATTTCTGTGTTGCAGTGAAGAAAGGAGGACAGATGCTGGCCTTTCACAGCAATAAGCTTTTATTCCTCAAGATGAGCAAAATGTTCATAGAAAAACATACATTTTTGGTCAGTGACGGTTATATAGGGTGTTAACAATGTAAAAAATCTAGGTCAGCTTTGGGCAATTAATGATGACCCTTGATTAGCTAAGAGCTCTGTTCTCTTTAATGTTGCGGGATCATGCATAGGATACACGAGATACACCTCCACTCAAAAGACCTTGAAGAAACTTAAGCCAGCTAGGAATCCACAAAACAGTGAAACAGTTTTTGAGGGCTTAATTGTAAACTCCTAACAAGCCTAGCTTCCTTCAAACTGAAAGACCAATAGACCTGTTGGGGCATGATCTCAGTAGACAAAAGCATGGCTCCAACGAGTACATGGCGATATAAAAAATGGTTTATTGATCTGTGGGATCTTTCTTGAAAGATTTGTATCTCATTCTGCTATTTTAAAAGTGAACGCTTTTGTGTTTCTTGCCTTCCTGTTGTGCAGAAGAAGAGGGCGGTGGTGTTCCCGAATGGGCACAACAGGAGCTGTCCTGCTCCAGCCTACCTGCGGCAGGTCTTGTTGAGGGCTGGTTCCCTCTGTCCGACCAGGCAGGGGTCACCTCCAACTTGGTGGAATCACTAAGGTATCTCCGTTTTCTGAATTCTACGTTAATGTGAAATGTCTTGAAATGATTTGTTGTGTCTTGTGATATGTTAACACTGCAGCTGTATACCACATGACTTTTCAGACGGTCATTATTTTTTGTTTTGGGAAATTTGAGAACTTCCTGTTTTCTTTGCAATTTCGGTTAGGTCGTCATTCATTGCCTTCAGTCCACTTGTACTGTCCTTGGACGTGGACAGTTAAGAGAACTGTGAACTGCTATTCTCCAGTCAACACATTACCGGCTACCACATGACTAAGAAAGTTAGCAACAGTAATTGGAGTAATGTGGCTCTTGGTGACAGTGTTGCAAGCTCATGGCTGCCTTGCGGGTCAGTTGTGCAGCATTAAATGGACAGTCTTGCCAAATGATAGTAAAAGAGCTTAAAACAAGAATTGTAGCACTTTTGTGTTCACTAAGAAACAGATGTGAAGTCTCTATGTGCTTACAATAAAAAGAAAAATGACTGTTTTCACCATTTTCAGTAGTTCTTATCATCTGGGGGCCTAGCATCCATATATATAATTTGAATCACTTGAGAGTTGAGTTCATAAGCTTACTGGGTTCTGCTCACCAAATTCAGCTCACCCGAACACCACAACCCCCTGCAGCCTGGCGTGCCTTGTCCTGTGAATTCCTGCTCTCACAGAGCCCCAGAGCGTAGCCCAGGCTCAGAGGGACGTGTCTGGAGAGCAGGGCTCAGCCTGCACTCAAAATGAGCACTGTTACTGGATGAGCCACCGAGAGGCCCTAACCACCCAGCTTTACAGAAATAAAATCATATTTAGTAACACTGTTTTTCCCGGTGGTGTTTTGTGTGTTCTTAAAGACTGCTGCAGGCTGTCCCTGATGAAGTGGAGCAGGGAGCCGGGGGGAGCTCGACCGCAGAACTGGAGCTGATGGGCTGCCTGTCGGAGCTCTACCAGGGAGAGACGACCGAGGACTCGGCCAAACGAAAAGGCAGCAGAGGTACGAGCAGAGCTTGAGTGGTGCCCACACGTAACGATGCCGGTCATGAATGGCAAGTTTTCATATCCCATTAATGCCTAAATGGAAACGAATCCAAAAATGGAGACCCCATGAAGGAAATGATTGTTATTGAGCAATATGTAATATAGCTGTCATAACTCTCAAAGAAATTTGGAAAATCGTTTACATTAGTACATACCACCTTTAAAATTGGTATCTGGACTTGGTACATCTGATATTAAAATCAATAAAAAATAAATTGGTTAACTTCTAATGTGTTACATTAAAACAGAAAAAAGACAGCATGCAGTATGGTTTTTGCAAGGTTTAGATTACTCTTCCACTAATTTGTACACTTTGCCACTGTATGTATGGAAGAAGACTTCAGACTGGACAGGGATCAATGTTTCAACATCATGAGCACGAAACGTTTGCTCTACTATGCCAATTTAAATAAAACAAAATCAATTTCCTTACTCTTTTTTTCAGTTCAGTGTAATACACAATAGCTTTTGATCTTTTTTTCTTTTGGCTGCCGCTGGGGGGAGACGGGGCAAAGCCTCTGAGATCATGGAACTTATAACTTGTTCTAAAGCTGATATTGTTGTTTTATTTTTTTGGTCATGTTTTCCGCGTGTCCCTGTAGGTGGCGCGCCGCCCACCCCGGTGAGGCAGAAGATGAAGACCATGAGCCGCTCGCTCCAGATGCTGAACGTGGCGTGGCTCAACGTGAGGGCCCAGCAGAGCCAGGCGGAGGGGCCCCAGGCCAGCGAGAGAGGGGCGGCCAAGCCGGGGAAGAGGCGCAGTGGGGAGCGAAGCCGGGCCAGCCACAGATCTGCACGTACGTGTCCCTCTGGGGGACCCCCCTCCCCGGGGCAGAAGAGCGACCGGTTCTGGAAGGCTCTTTGTCAAACCTGGTTCTTGTTCCGTCTTTCATTTCTAGATTTCAAAACCGAAGAGGAGCTCCTGTGCCACCTCAAAGAGACCTACCAGAAGGCCGTCAGTGAAGAAGGCTCTTCTTTGGTCACTCAGGTCCAGAACCTGCTCACTCTCATCAAGAGCTTCCTGAAACCCACAGGTCAAGACTCGGAGGTGGGGAGACAATTGTGTCTGAGAGAATAACTATTGATTATCTCCAGCCCTTCCCATGTTTTTATATTGGTCTACTTGCTTGTGGGGTTTCTCATGTCTGATCTGTAAAGGTCGTGAGGAGACCTCTAGCCCAGAAGGTTTTAAGCATTTAAGTATCAGTATCTAATGATGTTTAATGCTTTGAATGTGATAATTTGAGAGGTAAAGTGTTAATTTAGAAGTAATTGAAGCGTATATAGTCAGCCCACCCAGTGTTTTTGTAATCAGGCATGTTTTTTTTTCTTATTTTGTCAGTAACTAGCAATAGCTTTAAGATCCCTGTCTTTAGAAGTAGGTGTTTTAGGGTGGCTTGTAAGACGTCATGTCCAGAACAGAACTGGAGAGTAATTTTCTTGCTAGCACATGCTGAACACTGGTGTTCACTCCTCCTCCTCCTGGAAAGCCACAGAAATGTGTGTTTCTACTACATTCTAGATCTTAATGACTTAGGTCAACAATCGATTCAATATTCTTGAATGCAGCTGTCTCCAACTTCAGTTCTTGAGAGGTTTGAGTTCCCTCTTAATTTATACAGAGCTGGGGGCATTGAGGACCAGGGGTGAGGTTTGCTGTTCCAGGGCAATCTGGTTCAAAAGACCATGATATCAGAGTACTTGCCTTTACTTTTTTCAAAGAAAATGTAGTTTCTGAAATAAGATGTAAGACTGAAATGTAAGAAGGAATTTTCTATCGTTGCAGGCAAATTGTACACAGTTTGTCCAGAAGAACCTTTTAAAGTCCAGTAAGACCATCCGAGAGCAGTACGGAAACACCCAAGATATTGAGGCAAAGATTAGAGAGTGAGTATTAGTCCCCATTTTTTTCCTGTTAAGTCTTTTTAAAATGTGCATATTCTATACTTGTTTGGGTGATGTGTAGAGGACTAAGGTGGTTTACTGAAGCTTGAAATTGTTTATTGCATTGAGGCTTTGTTTGTATTCATTACTTGTACAGTAAGTTTACCATCTGTCAATGGGCTGAGAAAACTGAACCAAGTAATTATAAAGTCTTGTTTCTATTACATGCAATGGAATCAGTAATTAGGCAATACGATTGTCAACATTGATTTAGATTTTGTTGCAACTAGGGTTGTCAATAAAACAATTCACCTAATTATTTCTGACTTAAAAATGTGTAGGAATTTTCTTTATTTTCAGATGGTTTCTCAACATATTGGCTTAATTAACAGTACAGCTACCTATAAAACACTTGGGAGCCAGGTTCGAATTATTACAATTAAATAATTAGACCCGCTATGTAACTGAGAGCTTGGATAAAACAACACCCGAAAGACACCAGACCCTCTAGGAGTGGAGTTTGAAGCCCCTGTCATAAAAGATTCATTCTCCAACTGCAGGTGGTCTTAGGAAGCGGAGGAGATAGATCAGGCATGAATTCTCCAGCTGGCCCCCTCTTGTGTGTGAAAGATATTACGTGATGTTCTCGTTCCCGGTGCCTGATTCCTTTTGCTGAGCTTGGTCTAATCTCAGAGCTCGAGAAACCAGTCAAAGAAACTCATCCCCAGGCACCGCTTGGTGTTTGTGGGTGTATGAAATGACACGGGGCTCTAACAGAGCTGTATTAAACAGGTGCCAGATGCAGGTGCTTCTGCGATTAGAGATGTGCAAGCAGTTCCCTACCCTGCTGTCTGACTCAGTGCGCCTTGAGCAGCTGGTGGAGGAGGTAGGTGTACTTACAACGCAATCTGTGTTACCTCCCCTTGAAAATGTGTGGCGTATTCTCTCTTTGTTGGATTGTTTTTTTTATCTTGGTGGATTTCCTTTTGTACACCAAAGCTTCTGTAATACCATATGTTTTACTTCTGCGCCACCACTAGGGGGTGTGAGCCCTTGATGTATTCTATTTCAAAATGAATCCTGCACTGTAGCAGTAGAGCCGTCCGTATTGGCTGATTTGGTGTTTGGAAATTGGATTCAAAATTTCATTTTCCAGACTACGGTGTGACCAGTGTAAATAACTTAAAATAAAATGTTGTACTGTATTTGCAGGTGACTGATGTGCTACGAATACTATCCTTAACGAAGGATCCAGCTTACCTTACCAAATTCCTTGAAGATGAAGTTCTTGCAGTGTACGTACCGGATGTTACTTTTGTGTTGACAAAAATCCAATAAAAAAAGACGTAGCAATGGCCACTCCACTGTGAAACCCATTAAGGAGTCTTCTCTTGCTCTAGGTACATGTCAAGTATTCCTGGCGTCCTGGGGGACATGTACTACAGTCTGGGGACACAGCTCCCCGAGAGACTCATGGCAGTTCTGCCCACTGATTTCTTCAGTGACGAGTCAATGGCACAGGAGAGCATCTCTCCAGCCACTTCCCAGCTCTCTGGGGTGCCCAGCTCTGCCTCCAATGGGGCGGGGCAGCTGGAGGACCTGCGCAACCGATTGGCCAAGAAAAAGAGGTATGGCAGCTGTTAGCCTGCAGGGGGCAGTAGCAGAACAGAGCTGAAGGGGGATAAGAGGGGATTAGTGTTTAAATTTACCTTTTTACCCCAAAGCATCTATAAAACAATGTATTTTACTGACAGCACCTTTGATTGTTTGATAATCCCTTGAAGTATACCATTTCAAAATGAATCCTGTACTGCAGATGTGGGCAGAGTGTACAGCTAGCCTGAAATGTCCAGAAGCTTTAGAAGTGTTAAGAATGGTTACACTCTGAATTGTTGCATGAATCATATTATCATGTCTGACTCACATCCTTTTAACAGTGCTAAAGGACTTTGCTCTGTACCGGTTTGTCGTTTTGCTCTAAATAGGGTTCAACTTAAGTGTAAAACTAATACATGACTGGTATTCTGCAGCACGATTCTCCATGCTTATATTGTATATTATTAGGAGCGGTGTGCTCACCAGAACACAAAGCATGAGTGACGCATCTCAGAGTTTCCGCCAAATTGAAATGCCCAGGAAGTCCATGAGAAGGGTATGCTTTAATTTCTCAACTTTGTTGTCTTATTCTGAAAACCTCAGTCGATATAACTCCCTGATGTAAATCATTCCTAGTAAATGATTGCATGAATCATTTTATTGATCAGATAACTGAATAAGCTGGCTGGTATTGTGTTTTTAGTGCATCTTAATTTCTTCTCGCTATTTTGCAGGAAAGTTCCAAGTCTTGTGTCTCAGTGGAACAGATTTGCCAAGCACAGCCACCACCTCCTAAAGAGGTAGTGCAAGGTAAGAGAGAAAAATGCGTCAAGTCAAATGGTGTTCTTTATTTGAAATATTACTGCTTTAAAATTGCCTGGGAAGCGTTGTTCCGCACTGTTTCCTGCTAACCCAATCTAGACAATACAAAACTGTTTCACAACACGGCTGTGGGAAAAACGAATGCATTTTGATTTGTTTTTATTGCTTTGCAGAAGTGACAAAAGTCAGAAGAAACCTCTTTAATCAGGAAACGCTTTCTCCCACAAAGAGAGCCAGAATGCCCCGAAGCCAGTCTGTCTCTGCTGTGGAAGGATCAAGGAACAAACGCTCAAAAGAGATGGGTGAGAAATTAATTTAAATCTCCTTGTATGTATTAGATCAGTGGTTCTCAAACTTTTTGGACCAAGTACCACCCCTGATCATACCAAAGCATCCAAATACCACCTACAAGTCATCTTCTCATAGGAACCCCAGAAAGTCTCAGTGACCAACATGAGCACACGTGCACACACACTCTCACACACACACACATAATAATAAAAACTTTATTTGATATAGCACCTTTAAACGTGGCTTCTCCAAGCGCTTTACAGAATTACAACAGGAACAACAGCAATTAAAAATAAACAATAAAAAAGCACCATTTCAGTGAAAGGGGTGAGCCTGTTTGGTCGAGCAAAGCAGATGTGAAATCATTTTTCAAGCCTTGATACAATTCACAACAGAGTCTTACCAGATTTTAAATCGTCAGGCGTTTTCTTGACAGCCAAGGCCTCGCGGTGGATGCTGCAGTTCATATCTGGCGCAACCTCTCCAACCTCTGTGTCGCCTTGTCATCGCTCTAGAACCGTCTGTACAAACTCCGACGCATTTTATCCAGTCGATTCCACTCTCCTCTATAAATTCATTCAGAAGCTGAAGTATGTGCTCTCCTGTAGTTCCTGTTGGTAGAGGCTTACAGAACAGAAAGTCCTCATGGGACATGCCCTCAAACTTGTATCTACCGTAAACGAGCAAATTGGCCAAATCGACAACATGTACAGACTCATCTAATTGCAGTGAAAAGCATCTGCTCATCTTAACAGCTCTATCAGCGTACTTTTGACATCATCCACCATTTCAATAATTCTATGAGTGGCTGTGTCTTTCAGAGGGGGCAGCAGGTCGAGCTGTTTAGCAGCCTTTTCTCCACACATAATATGTGTCAGCTCTTTTGCCAACGGTAAATAAGGTTCTTCAAAAGTAGTGTGGGACTTACCTGCTTTAGCAATCCGCAAGCTTGCATTTTTCCCCGTTTCCGTTTCAGGAGTCCGTCTCAGAAGTTAAAAGAAGTTATTTCATGGGCATGGGAGTGAAACACAGAAACGCTTGGTGTATTTTTCTCAAATTAACCTAGAACAGTTCTTAAATATTTTTCTGTGATCTGTCACGCTTTCCTGTGCTCACAAGATTGCCAGCGTTCGTAGCACGCATTTCTATGCACTCCTGTGTTTACAACATTGGCATTGTTCCAAAATCACACATTCTCCTACCTCCCTATTTGCTGGAGATAGCTTTTTTAAAATACAATTGTCCGCTTTCATTTGTAGCAGGCATTTCTATGCATTCCTGTGTTTACAACATTGGCATTATTCCAAGATCACGCACATTCTCCTACCTCCCTATTTGCTGGAGATAACGTTTTTTAATACAATTGGTCACTTGCGTTCGTAGCACGCATTCCTATAGAATGGAATAGAATTAAATTGTAGCTCTGTGTTCACTCAAGTATTGGCGCGTGCTGTACCGTAGTACGTAGGCTGCGTATTCGACACGTATTAAAATAGAAAATATGAAAACCCGACCCGATTTCTCAGCGCACGCAACAAAGTTCCAGGATCATATGGCGTACTGTACCAGCTGGTGGCGTATCACGGTTTGAGAACCACTGGATTAGATGATAAAACAGACAAAGCATACACAGGCATCCAGTCCTCACTTTTCAGAACCTGCCATTTTAGGTGCAGTCTCTGTGGCGAACAGCTCAGGGAATTGCTACTTATTGAATTGTTGGGACCATTTGTGTCAGCCTGAGAATATTATACTCTCTCCAGTTTTAGATAATCGCACATTACTGACCAAGAAAGTGACCGAGACCCCACTTCACAAGCAGGTGTCCAATCGTTTGCTTCACAGACAGATGAAAGGAAGGTGAGTTAAACTGTAAAGGTTTTTCATGTATTCTGGATTGTTTCATTGCATCAACACAGTGATAAAAGGGGATCCCTTGTTTAATACAGTTTAGAGATCCCTAAATGACTTCAGTGCATCCCCCTGCTCCCACTGTAGGGACTCCACGGACCTGCTGTAATAAATACAGTACTGGATTGACTGTGTTCAACATAATGTTGTACTTGACGTGACACAAAGCTGGTGCTGGTATTTTGAAGTGAGATGAAAAATGACATCAAAAGGAAATATACGTTCCAGGAAAATCTACAGACTGTAGGAAAATTAAATGAAGATAAATCTTAGGCCAGTGTGTCTTGAGAGGTTGGTGTATCTGGGTTAGCTTTCACCAAGATGAATGAATGATAAAATTAAATTGCAAAGGATTTTATAGAAAGAGTGTAGCAATAGAGGACTGAAGTGAAATACAGATGCTGCCTACTGCATTATTTCGCAATGTAAAGTATTCAATTGCAATTTCAGTGTATTGGTATTATAAAGTACTTTTATTTTGTATTCTTGTCCATTGTTTCTTTCGGCGACATCCTTTATTTTCATATATCTTTCATAATACATTCATTTCCAGTACTCAATCTGTATGCCTATATGCACTTTAGGTAGTGTTATTTACTCTGTGATTGCCATTTTATAGGTGACAAAAAAGTCCTAGTTCCCTCCCTGATTAAGAACCTTTTTTTATGATTGGGAATAAACAACAAGTGATTTACAAATTGGCCTGATCGGTTTGTGTCAGGCACAGTCTTTATCAGTGCAGATGTTTGCAAAGTTATTTTAGAAAAAAATATTTTAGTCCTAAGGCTTGTGTTTTTCTACTTTGTGCTAAGTGGCAGGATGTTTGTGTTAACCGTTCTGTGTATTCTGTAACTCAGAAAATTGGACACTGCTGATGTGTGCATTGTGGAGGAGTCCCCTGTTAAACCAGCAAGTGGTGAGTCAGGTCTTGATAAGATAAGAACACGAGTTTGTGGAAATTATACTGTTATTTATCATTCACTGCGGGTCTTTAGAAAATAATAGCTCATAAATGACGTACAACATTATTTTTCTTCTTGTTCTTGATGACAGTGGCAAACTTGAGGAGGAGCCCAAGGATTAACAGGCTTACCTTAAGTAGAAGACATTCCAGCTCCTTTTACTCCAGCTCCCAGCCTCGCTCCCGGAACCTGGAGCGAATTCATTCCTCTTCCCAGCTCAGCGAGAGCAAAGCAGGTGAGCGGGCATTCACCCACCCTATGATGTCCTTGCATATCAGATATGCAAGATCAGCACCTTACTTCCTACATCTTCAGTGTTAAAATAACATTTTGAAATGCATCCTGTCCGTCTTGTGCCACTGAGTATGGTAGTAGGAATTCTCTTGATTTCTTATTACAGACATTGTAGACGTCCATACAGTTAGGTCTCCAGTGCGACTGCTGTTCGGGGCAGTGCAATCTCCTGGCTGCACTTCATCCTTGAGATCCAGGGAGAGAAGGAGTGCTGGAATGGAGATTCTAGAGTCCGGGGAATCGGAAGGTTTTGAGGTAATTGCCCACTTTACTGCCATTGTTGCTTGGATGCAGTACTAGGAGACTTTTCTTTCCCTTAAAAGTAGTGTTAATTGAGCTTTTTTTTTTCCCCCAGAGTCAACCAAAAACTCCTGGGAAAACTCAAAGTAGGACTCCAAGGAAACCTCTTCAGAAACAATGCAAGGCAGAGAGTAGTGGCAGGACACCCAGGAAGTCTCCACGTTCCTTTGCAAAGTCTTCTGGCCACACTCCCAGGAAGAGTCCAGTCGTGGTGTTGGAGTCCGAGGAAACTGGAAGGAAATTACGGGGTAGTCCTTTCAGGTCCCCAGTGAGGAGGAGTCTGGTGATGGCCACTCCTCAGAAAAACAGTCCTTATGATACAAAGTTGAAGACGCCAGTTAAGAGCGTTGCAGATGCAATCTCGCCAGCAAGAACGCTTCCCTCCAGAAGTCCCTCCAGAACGCCAAGAAAGTCCCTGAGTGTCAGCTGGTCACCTTCTCCTCAAAAGATCAGAGTCCAAGACGGGGTGAATGTGCCCTTTAAGGTACCTGAGTCTCCCTGCCATCCAACACGAAGCTCCCCAAGATTATTAAAAACCCCTAAAAGATTCAGCAGCCCACAGAAGAGCCCTAACGTGCGAGACACCTCAAAAGGCTTGTCAAGAACTCCTCAAAAGCAAAGCAGCCAAAGAAAAGGAAATTCCCCTAAAAGTACAGTTTTGTCAGGACCTTCCGTCGGCCACCAGCTGGATGTCTTTGAAGAAAATATGAAAACCCCGCAGAAGCAAGACATTCATAGAACCTCAGAAAGGGTCTTGAGGCCAGTGAGCTCTCGGAGAAAAGATGGCTCGAGGTTTATAAATTCTCAAGAGGACTTACCAGGTTCATCTGAGGATTTTGAAGCCTGTACCATGCAAATAGCAGGAAAAGCAATAGTTCCTGGCATTTCCTTCCTGCCTGCTTCTTCCACAAAGACGCCACCCAAAAATCTTCTTTCAGCAGCCCAGCATTTCGCATGTTCAAGAGGGAGCCCCGATCGGTGGTTTGAAATGGAAGCTGTGACTCATGTAAAGACTAGAACTACCCCAAAAAAGAGTACCTTCCATTTGTCAGTTTGTGATTCCGAAAGCAGAGTAGAGGCAAACAACCAAACTCCCTGCAAGATGTCAGAAAATATTTTGCCCAGCTCTCCGCTTAAATGTCAGTCTGACACTCAACAGGGCAGGTTGACTCGAGGGAAAAGCAAACAGCTCTCGAGATCGAAATCGCGTGAGTGCTTGCAGCCGACTGGCGACAGCGATGACATAAGTGCGCTGAAGCCAAAGGCGGCTGTAAAGTGTGATAGTCTGGAGCATGAGCAGAAGGGTTCTATTTGTACACCGTTGTCACAGTCGTCACAGGCAGACCCAGGTCAGCATTCCTATCCTGTGTGGCTTGACTCTTCCCAAGCCAGTACGGGCACATCCGGGTCTTTTGCCACGACGGAAGAGGAGAGCATCGACATCTCGGAGGCCACAGTTATGAAAACGGAGCTATCGGGAGGTATCAAAATGAATATTTCCTATGCTAGAAAGCCTTCCAGATCCTCCGAGGTGGTTGAGTTCAAGTCCGAACAGCCACACGTTCCCTCCTCCGCTTCCAGACCCAGCTATGGTTTCCGCTGGACCCCAGATCGCCAGCAGAGGGAGGCGGCGGCACGACTTGGGAGCCCCGAGGGCGCCCCCAAGTTCTCGACGCCCCAGGGCTCCCGGAGGTCCGGCCAGCGGCGCAAGCCCGCGAGCCCCAGCGCCGCCTCTTACGAGGTGGAGCTGGAAATGCAGGCCTCGGGGCTGCCCAAGCTCAAGTTCAAGCGGACAGACTCCTTCAGCGCCCGGGAGGCTGGGGCCGAGGCCAGCCTGAGGGGGGCCAATCGCCAGTGCCCGGGGACGGAAAGTCCGCTGCCCTGCTGCTCCAGACACAAAGACACAGGCTATGTCTCCCCAGCGCTCTGCACGCATGGAACACCTGCCAAGACCACCCCGGGGAAAGGGGTTCAGACTTACATTTGTCAATCTTGCACCCCAACCCGGCACCCAGCCAGCACACCTTCGCCATTGGATGCCGGGGAACTCGCCTCCTGGACCCCCTCCCCTCAGAGCAGGGGGAGATCAACCCCAGAGAACCTCAACAGCTGGCCGCGCAGGAAGAGGGCTGGATCTGGGGTGACTGCCGGCAGGGAGAAGTGCATTAAGGAGGATCCCGTGACAGAGGAGCCCGAGGACATGAAGTTATTGGAGGATCTGGAGCTGGAAGCTGGGGGCCCTGCCCAGGGCCTGCTGCTTGTGAAAGGCCAGGAAGGCGAAATCTTGTCCAGCAGAGAGATGCTGGGTTTGAGGTCCAGAAAGAGAGGCAGCAGTGAGGCCTTTACCCCCGAAAAGGAGGAGACGCATAAGAAAGTGAAGAAACCTGTCCTGAGCCAGTCAGAGGACTCGGATATTCTAGAAGGTCTCTTCAGTAACTGGGGAGGTATCGAGCCTTTCACGGGTGATAAACCACATTTCATGCAGGAGGGCTCTGATTTCTCAGGTAATTTTTAATGAGATTTTCCATAGCAATGCTTAGCTTTTATAGACACCCTTTAGTTGACTGAATTAGGAAGAAAAAAATAGGACTCACTGTTGTAAAACCAGAACTTTGTTGTGATTAGCATTTAAACAGGCTTAGGTTTATTTTATCATTAGTGTATGTAATGGCTTGTTAGTGTATTAATGGAAAATGTTACTAGCAATGTGCAATTAACAGGCTCCATGTAGGTTTCCTGACCAGCAGTCACCACATTTTGTTGCTTTACATGAGTCTGCTGTCTCGTCTGATCTCATTAAGGTTTATTCCACGTGCTTCCTTTCAGCAATGACGCCCCCAAGCTCTAAAGCGAGGAAGCCAGTGTCAGCAAGCGGGCTTTTGGCTCTGACCCAGTCGCCTCTGTTGTACAAAGGCAAGACCCCTTCCTCTAACAAGAAGAGCGATGCAAGGGGTGAGTTTCCTAGAGTCTAAAAGTGGCAGTGTGTGTGGCTCTGGGCGTTCTTCTGTTTTATAAGTATAATTTTGGAGGTGTTAAAATAGGGGTATCTGATCATTCTCCTGGTTAGCCGTTCTGTCTGCAGGTCTTCATTCCTCCAGCTGGTTGTTGTCTTAATTGGACTAATGCAACAGCGTCTCCCAGCTCTTCAGGTTTGAAGAACCTGCTTGAAAGAAACCTTGAAAACCTGCAGACAACTCCCTCCAGGAGTTGCAGACAGGAATTTAACAACCTTTTGTTAAAACGTCATGGAATCACTACAGTGTTGGTAGTATCTTGTGGATTGTCTGTTTCTATTAACTATTATAGGACAAACATGTTCTTGGGGTCTTAATAAACTGTTTCATTCTGTCTGATGGGCTGCATTGTTCCTTCACCAGAGTAAAATTCTTATTACACCACAGTAGCTTTTGTTATGTACGTGGTAAGAACAAGTGCATCTTTTTTTTCCCTGGGCTCAGGTGACGATGAAGGTGCGACTTGTTTTCACAGGTGAGTCCGAGCTTGAGACTTGTGCTCAGAAGAGAGGGCCTGAGGAACAGGAACTGTCTCCTTTCGACAAGGGAGCCTCCTGCAAGGCTGCAGGCAGGAGCCACAGCAGGAAGAGGCTGTTACCTTGAAGTGTATTTCTGTCTAAATGGCTCCACTCTCTAGGTTCCAAGAACACAAGTGCTTCAGTTTTTAGAAGCTTTTATATTTAGAATTTTTCCTTGCAGTAGTATGACTTTATTTGGTTCGTTAACCTTCTTTTTGAAGGTTGGTGCAATCATTTTAAATAAAGAGCGATCAGGCTTTTGCTTTGCGGTGGAGAGAGCTGTGACGGCCCTGAATTGATTAAACGTCTTTTTCAATATACTGGAAATACAGCAGGCATCTGTGAGACATGTTTGACTGTCAGATCTGAAAGTATTAAACTTGGTTGGAAGACAGTTTAATAGACAGATTTTGCATGTGGTAAAGAATCCATAACTGTCCATTTGAGATCATCCGTGCTACTTTTGCCCTCCTTGTTCAGAAAACATACAATCACAAAAAATCAAAGAACTGTTTGTTGTCCTGTATGATTTGGTTACACTTCATCATGAGCTGTCTGTGACATGAATGGTAACCTTTCATAGGTGGGGAAAGTGATCATGACAAAATTGTGAGTTAAAATGTTATCACAAAATGAGAATTGTTAATGTTTGTCATTATTTTGATGGAATGTTTGTACTTTGTATGGAGTGGAGATAAGGAATTTGCATTTGTAAGTCCTGTCGTGTCAAAGTTGTTTTTTTTTAAGTGGCACTTCTGGAGGAGATTTGTGTGATATTTAAAACAACTGTTTCAAAGGTATGTGACAATCCAAACAGACCCTTTAAATTCTTGTCAAGTAAATCTGGGATTCCGAGCTTTATATGCGAAAATAAAGGTGTTTGTCTGTTTTTTTTTTATATGTTCAAAATCAACATTTTTGAGGGCCATGTCAAATGAACCTTTGTGGGTGTTATTTAATGTCAAATAAATTTGCAAAGTGCACAATGTTATTGTTTATCAAATAAAATGAAATCTTCATTAGTATTTGCAAGAGAAGTCTTTCAGTGGGATTAGTGGGGTTCCTCGGTGTGCTTTTCCCCTTGTGCGGACAGTGTTTGTGCTCGTAATTCTCTGCTCAATGGATGTTAACTTCCTTCCAGCAGGTACCAGGTAGCCTCGCCCTTCTCTGCCACATGCACGGGTATCAAAGGTCAGCTTGCTACGTGCACACAGGCACGGCTCTTCTGCAGCCGGTGGCAGACTGACGCCGTAAAAATATCGGAGTAAAATGGTGCTGAAGTGAAACCCAAACAGGCACAGGAGAGAGCCGGATCAGACAACAGAAGGCCATGTGTTGGGGTGTGCCGAGTAGGTGCAGCACTGGTAAATAAGATCCGTGCAGCCATGACAGCGGGCTGGCTGGTGCACGGCTGTTATCATGTTTCCCATGAAGCACGCACTCAGGCATGGGAATTGGACCCACTTACAAAGGCGGAAGTGTGGCACTCCCAGTCCAGCCTGCCTCGCGCACATCAGAGCTCAGCTCACACCAAGCCGCTGACCACTCCTAGGTAAGAGCAGCGCTCCTCTCTTCGAGACCATGTCTTTATATGGGGGGGTCGTAAGTGTTCTTGAGTTTTGATAACGTCGGTTTTCTCTCAATTTTAACGCAGTGCAGGGATTTATTTAAAGAAATTCAACTTTCACTGTTGCCAACTGTTTTATTGTTCCAAGGTCATTTTATTCTTTGACTTTGAAATCTATGTTCCTCCTCTTCTAAGACAAATTGCTTGAGACGCCTCCCGTATAGAGGGAGAGGATGATAACTCTGGAGAGCTACTTTGTCATTAGATGCTTAAAAAGAATTAAGTGTGGTCACACCAGAACATACTCTTTCTGTGTTATTTTATTGGAGTTAAAATGGTCAGGTTTTGTGTCGGTGGATGACCTGCTATAGTAGAATACACCGCGGATCACCTGTAATGAATTTGTAGAAAGCTGTGAATGGGTGTGTGTTGCATTGCATGGAGCTAAGCACGCTCAGGAAATCTTCATGGACTATGTTCAAGGCTGTGCCACATTCGCGTTTCCTGCTGTTTCCAGTCGTTTGTTCAACCTCACGCAACTTTCCTCTTACCAGCTGTACTTCCCCTGTATAAGCCTGTAATTAGAACAATTCTTACAGGAGATCTCCTGAAGGATTAATTAAGTAAATAGGTCAGATCAATTTTAACAAAGGTTCCTTTTTTCTTTCATACTGTTAAACTGCTTAGGATACTGAGCTGGACTGGATTTGCTGCCTAAATCCTGGAGGAAAACAAATTGCGGCGACCTCAGAATTCATACTTTACTGTGGAAATGCCACCAATTTAATTAGCTCCTGGGAAATGAGCGGGTGAATGTGCCATTGTAGAAATTAAAGAATATTTATCAAAAATAATAAGGAAAGGTCCAACCGCACACTTCATTTGAGACGCTGGGCGGTCTTGTGCAGCAGGGTTTTTAAGGGCGACCGTTGGATTTCGAACTTTTCAAATCGCTTCACCCGTTCATACATGTCTCTTGTCTGTCCACTAGTGCTTAGCTCTTAGATATAGGGTAACATTACAGGTTTATTTATCTCAAAACTTCAAGTGTCTTTAATCTATTTTAACGGTCTTCGCTTTCCTTATTCAACCCACAAGTGCAGCATATTGTCAAAACATCTGTCTTTCACCTCAGAAATATCGCTAGACCCCTATGGAAGCCCGTTTCCGCCAGGGAGTAAAAAAAAAACGCGCTATGGTATCTCAGAATTGCGACTTAGTATCTCAGATCCGACTTAGCAACTCAGAATTCCGACTTTATATCTCACATTTGAGGCACGAACTAGGGTGGGAGCAGCGAGGGCACAATCCCTAGAACCCGAATCCGTTACAATAACAAAAGGACAGACAATGAAATATGGCTATTTCGAAGTCGCAATTCTGAGTTGCTAAGTCGCAATTCTGAGTTGCTAAGTCGGAATTCTGAGATACCATAGCGCGTTTTTTTTCACTCCCTGGCGGAAACTGGCTTCCATACTTAATAACCTGCGGCAGTCGTTTAAAATTAGGCTGCCTCAACCTCATGTTCTGGGTAAATATATTCTGACAATGTAGCGATGCATTTGAATTACTAGAAGAGACATGTGGAACCTGATACACCTTTTTATCGGAACTAGAGACATTAAGCGATGTGAATGATGCGGAAATGTATGTAAATAACCGAATTTCAATCAAAAGTAAAAGTCCTGCAGCCACCATAGTAGCGTATGAGCAGTATAGCAACACTAAGTGACAAGCAGATTTTAAAACACCTGTTTTGTTATTTCTTCGGGGTCACATGTAATTCTGCCGAATTTCTTGAGGGCATTTTTTAACTGTAAATCGCCTCCACTGATCCCCAAGTCTGACAAATCTAAGATTATTAGAAGCTTCACGTTGCTTCCTGAAAGCCTGTATTCCAGCAGTTGCGCATGATGTGTTAGGCGTGTTTCGGTCTCGCCTTCTGTACATTTCTTGCTGAAATGTAATGAGCGTGTTCATTGTGAACGAGAGAAAGCCAGGGATGTAATTGTAACAGATGTATTCAGCAGACAATCGCCTCTGTCCAGCCCAGCTAGTACTGAACGGCTCTGCAGTACGGTGATACGAGACCGCTCCATGCTGAGAGCGCCTACGCTGCAATGCTCGAATTTGCGCATGAGGAACGAAATTTTCCCTGCACCTTGTAGTACCCAATGTAATGACGGATCAACCTAGTTTTTTCACTTTTTAACTTTAAAACGACTAAAATAGAGAGCAAATATTTCCTTTGTGTAATTTGCCCACAGTAGCTAAAAAATATTGGTCCTTTAAATTACATACCGCAACAAAACGTTTTAACGAGCAATTGGTGGCGAGTTATGCTAGTAGGCTACTGTACATTACTCCATTTGTTCACAAAATACATGAAAGGTGAGCAAATTGTTATTTTATATAGAACTATGTCGATAATCTTTATGTGTATACGTACTAAATCGGTCCAAATGGTGAAAATGATTAGCGCATACTACAACTGTATCGTAGTCGTAAATGTATGTAATATACTGCCGCTAGAAAATGTATTCATAACGGAGTCCTGCAGCATAGACATCAGACATTACCAAGAGCACATTTTCACATCATTTGGATTTAATCATTTCGATCCCCGTTTGTTTACGCGTGACGACTGTGAGGGTCTGTTTCAGGTCAGTTTTGGGGGAGTGCTGCAGTCTCTTCGACCACATCGCGCAGGAGCCTACTGCTGTAATCTCCCTCCTTCATTAAGTATTCGCAACACGCATTCTCTCCACCAGTCCCCCTACTGATCCAGCTCTTTCTCGCTCTCTGCCTCTTGTCGGTGTTGCCACAGTTGGCGGGGAGTATTTATCCAGGTCTAGTCTCTCATCTCTGGCTCTCGGTTTGCGGGATAAGATGGCAAGCACCTTTACCCGGGTCCTGACCTCCAAGAGAAGCGTGGGTATCCTGTCTCTAGTAGGAGCGGGCTCCTTAGCGGCGGGATACCTGCTGAACAGGGATCCTGTCAACGCTGGAGCCCAGAGCAGGAGGAGACTGTACCCATCAAGGTAACTCCCTGCCTGCCACCACCTCAGTCGCAAGCGCCATAGCCGCAGCTCCGCTCTGGAGAAGGTTTATTTTCTCTGCCGTTACGTTCTCATTTCCCACTACACCAAGATCATTTATAATGTTTGTATTTTTATAATGATGTATACAATACATTTAAAATCGTACAGGGTGGTTAAGGTGAGCTGTCGTAAAGCATTTTTTTTTTAATTGCTTTTGCTTTTGCACTATTTGGTGCATTTGTCCATAATTCACATTTGCGTACTATGATATTATTTGTTAAATTGGTCCAATGTAACGCAGATCTTCTAAGGATGCGTGTATTGGACTGTAAGATAATCTTTCTTTTTGAGTACAGTGTCCATTCAGAATATGTAAAGTTAAATATCTTTAAACAAGTGGGGAAGGGTATGAATTGTTGCGCGCCTTAAAACCCCAGTACGCAGACTCGACTTTGTTAAAAAGAAATGCGTTAACTCACGGATCGGAAGGACTCAAACTGGAACATTTTAATGGGGTTACCTGTTTTAAAACAGATGGCACAAAATCACCCCTGAGGTGGATGTGATTGCGTGAACATTTTTACAGTAAAATATTAGCAAACAAAAACACCCTGGCACCCTTTTTAGCGTAGTGGAAAACATAAAAGCTAAATCACGTTCCCAAATTTAGATATCGATGACGTGAGAAATATTGTAAATGCATTGTACGCTTAAATAAATACATTTGTCTTTCTATCTTATAAGAATGCATCTGAGGTGTGTGTAATAGATACGTATATGTATTCATTGTTGGAATATTCTGGAAAACTGTCTTAAAGTACCCTCCACAGGATTTTGAAATCACGGTAATCCCCCCAGCCCGACGAAGTATTACATATTTTCGTCATGTGAAAAAACAGCTGCTCTTCCTCATATTGAACAGTAATGATGAATGTATACCTTACATAGTCCCATAGATACAGCCCAGTATGCCACTAGATTTTTATAAGATCACTTTATTAGCCATATGCAATTTCTTGCATTAGGGATTTGTCCTTTCACATACCGCTACTTGCTCTCCATGAGACACACAGGTGGGGAGAGAGACGCTTGTGGTCAGAGTGCAGGGGCAGCCATTTTTACAGCCAGTTGCTCAGGGGCCCAACAGAGTAGGATTCCTCTGCCGGCCGCGAGATGGAACTGGCAACCTTCCAGCCACAGGCGCAGATCCTGAGCCACAGGGCCACTGTTCTGCCCTTGAGTATTTTTTAATCCAGAAATACACATTTCCCATTGTGTCACTGAAAACATTGCATTGATTAGAAAATATAATAATTTTGCTACAGTAGTAAATGTACTCTACTTTTTTTCATTTATAATCAGTCTGCATTATTATTATTTGCAACTGTTTTGTTAATTTCTCTATATATAATGGGCTAGATTCAACCTGGGTCCACTTCCATATAGACGTTTCCTGGGTATAAAGGAGATGTATCCCAGATCTTAATTAAGCTTGCAGACAAAATGAAAGATTTACACAAACTTACATCTACCATCTCATCAGGTGGTAAGGCTGTGCCCAATCACATGCTGAGTACACATCCAGCCTGTTCATAAACTCATCAGCATACTGCAAACAGGTGGGCAGGTGGAAAAGCACAATTAAGATAAATACATATCTCAGTAGGCACTGTTTGTGACCATATATTGATATCTTTTTTTTATGTATACTTTGGTGACATTTAACAATGCATTTACCTCAGTCTTAATCACAGAACTAACCTTGATCATGCTTTGTCAGTGCGGAGTACCCTGATTTAAGGAAACACAACAACTGTATGGCCAGTAACCTCACTCCTGCTATATATGCCAAGCTGTGTGACAAGGCCACTCCTGCTGGCTTCACCCTCGATGAAGCCATCCAGACAGGAGTGGACAATCCTGGGCACCCCTTTATCAAGACTGTGGGCATGGTGGCTGGAGATGAGGAGTCTTATGAGGTGAGGGCTTATTATGACCTGAAATAGACTAGACTTCGATGGTTAGTAAAGAAGTACTGTAGATAATAATTTTTTTTTGCTAGATCAGACATGAGCAGCACAAAACCTAGATAACAGATGTTTGTAAACTGCAAAGCCACAATTTCTGGCTAAAAGACCTTGAAGTGTTATGATGTTGTCTTACATGGTTTGCACCCTTGATAAAAAGAGAATAAAACCCAACACTCTCAATGCAGCATATTCACTTCTGAAATGCTGAGTGCGTACAGGCATGTTGTATATCAAGCATTCTCTCAGAGGGCTCATGGGGAAACCCAGGAAGATGTATTTACAGCTGCCCTGTGGGTCCTGGCAGCATGAATCTCCCTGCAGTTCTTTCTGTCCATTAATGCAGCTGAGAGGTACTGCTTATTTAACACTTTAAAATGATTTTTCTATTTATCATTCCAAAATTGTGAGATCCTTGTAAATGAGCTTTAGCAGTGAAGTGATTTAATTATGTGCCATCAGGAGGAGGAAATCCAGTCTCTGCAGCAGTAGGTGTCACATCCATCAGTGGGCCTTAGTGGCTCACAGGGTGAATTGATAAACCGATAGCCAAAGTGTCATGGTTTCAAGAGCACTGACAGCTCTTGCTGAGCTCTGTATTTTTCTTCTTTTAGGTCTTTAGTAGCTGTCGAATCTCACAGATCTGAATAGTGATGCTCTGCATTGTGTTTGATGTCTTGTGCAGGTGTTTGCTGATCTCTTTGACCCTGTCATTAAGGAGAGACACAATGGTTATGACCCCAGGACTATGAAACACCCTACAGATCTGGATGCCAGCAAGGTATATGTCACGAAGCGTCATTCAGGACTCTATGCAGACGGCAGAATATGGAGGGGAGTGAGACAAACACAGGGGGAAGAGACTAGGATCGGAGCTGGAAGAAGAACAGAGGGGTGTGTCGACGGTGCGCTGGTGCTCGGGGGGGGCGTGGTCCAAGGCAAACAAGTCCAAAGGGAGTCCTTAGGGAAATTTGGGGAATGCAAGAGTCCAGAGCCGGGTAATCCAAACCAAGAAGGACATGACAGAAGTTAAAAGCTGGAGTGGGATCCTGGCGAAGGGTCGGGGGAATATAGAAGGGGTAACAGGGCCAGGCGCTCCAAGTCAGGACGCTGTTGCGAAGCCTATGCCGTTGAGGCACTCCTGGGCTCGCTGGTAGGCGGGCTTCCGGGCGTCCATCTTCTGAAGCTGAGCCCAGATTGGTAGGAGCGTCTGGCTTTTATAGAAAGGAGGCTGGATAAGGGTCAGGTACAGGAAAATCAATCCGAACAAGAAAGGGCTGCAGCACCCTCAAGAGGAGGGGCTTACGATCGTGACAGTATAGACAGGGCTGCAGGCCATACTTCAGGGTCTACAAAACTTCAGAAAATTGCAGAAAACATGTGCATGGCCAATGCATTCAGTACTATCACAAATAATATTTTAGCTTTTTACGTGACTATCATAAGTAGGAATAGTCCTATTGCATGTTTTTACATAGCCTTAATCGCCACTCATTTTGAAAAGTCTGAGCAAATTTCAATCGCAAGATGTCCAAAAAAGTAGTGGTTAGGGCTCTAGGCACTGCTGTTGTACCCTTGAGCAAAGTACTTCACACACATTGTTCCAGCTGTGTGAACGGGTGAAGATGTTCTTTGCTTTGGATAAGATGTCAGACAAATAAATGTCCTCTGTTTAGGTGTTACCAAGCCCATCACTGTTCATTATTAGACTGTAGGCGCCATTCAAGGGGAGTCAGAAGCAGTTTTAAAGTGACGCACATTGCTCCTTCCCTGACAGATTCGGTCGGGGCATTTTGATGAGCGCTATGTGCTGTCCTCGCGTGTGAGGACGGGCCGCAGTGTCCGGGGCCTCAGCCTGCCCCCCGCCTGCACGCGCGCGGAGCGCAGGGAGGTGGAGCGCGTGGTGGCGGACGCTTTGAATGGGCTGAAGGGAGACCTACAGGGCCGCTACTACAGCCTGACGGTGATGACAGAGCAGGAGCAGCAGCAGCTCATCGACGTAAGAAATGGGCGACGGGGATGGAAAGCAGCTGAGAGCCCAAGAGGGGTGTGCCTGCTACTTCCCCCTTTGTTCAAATGTTACAGTCAACTCAATATTGGTGAAGTATACCAGGGCTCCCATAATATGAAAACTGTTGGCATCAAACCTGATTTCTTCTGCAGTGCTGGTGAAAAGTGCCAATGAAATATCCTTTCTCTGGGAAGGTAAGTAAGGTGAAAGTGATCCCTGCAGGGAAGTAACTGTAACTCAGTCGAGAAACACAGGCTAGGATCTGAACATTTACACTGATGATGAGCTTATTGGCAATACTGAGGACCAGGGTTCAGTACCTGGCCATTGTCTAACAAAGAAACATTGCTATAATAACCATTGTTATTTACATATGAGTTTTAATGACTGATAAGAAAATATCGTGATTGTATTATTATCATGAATTCAATGGACAAGCACTGCAAAACCATGTCTTTAAATCTGCTGTACATGCACTTGCACATGTGGAGCTTTTCCCTGAATGTCCTCCTGTCTCTTCTGTGTTTTCCCAGGATCACTTCCTTTTTGACAAGCCCGTGTCCCCTCTCCTCACCTGTGCTGGAATGGCTCGAGACTGGCCAGATGCGCGTGGAATCTGGTAAACAAAGTTTGACTGTAGGAAAGAGTTGGCAGAAGTAGAAGGACTGGTGGACACTGCTGTGACTGGAGCTGAAACAGCTGTCAGTGCTATTTAAAGCAGGTTTATTGTTCAGAAAAGATTTGTATACCTTTAATTTTTTAGCCAGTGAGCCATAAAACATTAAATATATTATAAACAGATGAGATTAGAAAGTTAATCTTTGATAATATAGTAGAAAAAAATATAATCACTTTTCCTGAAGGACAGCTGTACTTCATTTTCTTGGGCTGAAAGTAGACTTTCTTCCGAGAAAAAGGCCTGCAAGCTTTCCCTGTCTTGTATTTCTTTTCTGTCCTGCTATTGTCCATAAGTAGCACACTTCATTGTAGTCTGCACTAGACTGAACCCACAGGAGACCCACTGTGACGTCTCCTGCTACATTATGTGTATATAGCATGTCAAGAGTCCTCCATTACTCATCCAAGTTTTCATTTGACTTCTCTCACTCACCATTAACTTGGTTTTCCTCCAGCCACAGCCGATGGTATACCATTCAGCAAGTTTGTTGTCTGTTTGTTACTGTAGTGAAAATATAAGAAATATAATGGTTACATTGTGACTGGAATAAAAATGTTTTTTATTAACATTATATCAATGTCTGTGGTCCTCGCATTCCAAACTTACTCAAAGAAAGTAAAATATGACACTAGGGGAAAATTACGCAAATAACACATACTGTGATGATTTTTGTTGTGCAACAGGACTGTGTGACATTGACTTCCTGCATGTATAGTGTACATTATATAAACTCTAAGCAACACCTCATTCTGCCTAATTCAAATGCTGTGTTCACTTGGCCCTGCACAGGCACAACAACGATAAAACCTTCCTGGTGTGGATCAATGAGGAAGACCACACTCGCGTCATCTCCATGGAGAAGGGGGGCAACATGAAGAGAGTGTTTGAGCGCTTCTGTAAGGGGCTCAAGGAGGTAAACATGGGTTAACTCCTTGCACTGGCACATGTGGAAAGGAATGTGTTGTCTGTTGTGAGTTTGTGTATCTATCTCTCATTATATGTGTTTTTACCCCCACAGAAAGCTGACTGAGAATGTGTGTAGGATTAAGGAGGCTTTCAGTTACTTGTGTATCTATAGAGAGGCAATCCTTATTGACAATAAGCACTCAATTAATACTGAGTTGTTTGCGCTTCTTTGGGCATTTGCTCATGTGTTCCAGTCTGTGTGTGAGGGAGTGGGGCTGAATGTAAGGCAGATCTTGTGCTATTCTGCAGTAAGTAACACTATAATGGAACTCCCTTCCATTTTCATATCTCTCTATTCAAGTCGCACCTCCAGTCGTGCCAAGAAAGTCTTCTCAGACCCCTCTCACCCAGCTCATCATCTCTTCCAGCTTCTCCCTTCTGGAACACGTTTCAGATCCTTCCTCTCAAGGACTGCCCACTTCAACCTCAGCCGCTTTCCCACTGCCACACGAGCTCTGCACTCACGTTGAACTCCATTGTATAATTATGCTGCTACGTGGATAGTTGTTTTCATATGTACTGTATGTGACGGTGTTTGTTTGTCTTCTGTCCTATTTGAATTTGTACTGTAAATGTTGCATGCATGTCTCATCTGTGTTCTTTGCTGTACTAAAAGCAAATTCCACCACCTATTGTCGTGTGGCAATAAAGAATAATTTAATCTAATCCACAGGTGGAGAGACTGATCCAAGAGAAGGGTTGGGAGTTCATGTGGAACGAAAGACTGGGCTACATCCTCACCTGCCCCTCCAATCTGGGTACAGGGCTGAGGGCTGGTGTGCACATTAACCTACCTCGACTCAGCAAGGTACCAATCCTACGCTTTCAGGGTTCAAGAGAGTCAACGAAAGGACTAATGTGCTGTCATATCATACTGTACTTGTTAAATGTCCGCTATATTCTAACAGCTTTAATGGTTTTGATTGACGGTCATTACACAGGGGAGCAATAGCCATGACTTTAATATCAAATTACCAAAACTCTTATTGCAAGAACTGCAGAGTTCAAGTCCATCAAAGAGGACTAATACACAGTTCTGCGAAGAATGTAAAGGAAAGGGCCTAAAAGAAACGGAACATATAATTAACCCCTGAGGCTGCTACAGGAAACCCTCTAACTGTAATTAATGTAATTTCCAGAGCTCAGCCTGTCTGTCTCTCTGTCGCTACTCTGCAGGATCCTCGGTTCCCCAAGATCTTGGACAACTTGCGTCTCCAGAAACGTGGCACAGGTGGTGTGGACACAGCAGCCGTGGGCAGCACCTTTGATATCTCCAACCTGGACCGACTGGGCAAATCCGAGGTGAGAAAACAGGTCCACAGTGAGCTACATGAGCTTCTCTGAGGACACCCTTTTTTATTCTGCAGAAAAATAAGCTCCCAGTTGAGTGTGACATGCTTTGAAAAGGAAACCTGGAGAAAAAATTGTGTTCCCCTTTCCTTGTGTCACCTCCAACCCTTGTACATCTTCAGTATACTCTGAGGGTTGAAGGCTTGCTAATCAGATAGTGAATTCCCATCTGATCAGATGAGATACTGTAGCACTCTCAAGTTCACATGGGTATGCACCCTCACCACTGCTGCCTCAGGTCGGCCCCCCCACTGTCAGGGACTCAAACCCAGGCCTCTGGCATCACTCAACAGGCACCCAGCCAGTTGAGCTAAAGGGAAATCTCCCCTCAGCCCGACGGCTGCGGTCCCTGTTATTCACAGGGAAGGGCGGTGCCGTCACTGCGCTGGTAAGCCGGCTCGAACAACCTGCAATGTCGTCCGTATGCGTAACACTCTTAGAGAGAGCAAGGGGTAGGGAATTGTGAAACCACAGTAAAATTTAAAACAATAGCAATCAATAGAATTTACCTACAATTTCTTTAAGAAACCTGTTTAAATTACTGAACACTATATTAGCAGTTGATCTGTAAGTGATTTAGGCATTCAGTTAATAGATACAATACAAATGAAAAGAAAGTAAGAATGCAGTCTGGATTGGCAAATCCAATATTTATGTGTATTGAGCAGAATGGAAGAGTAATGATGCTGTGGCTATCTATGTGTTCAGGTTGAGCTGGTCCAGACTGTGATAGATGGAGTGAATTACCTGATCGAGTGTGAGAAGAGACTGGAGAAAGGCCAAGACATCCGGGTCCCTCCTCCTATAAACCAGTTCAAGTAAACAGCCCTGCAGATGACTTCCCAGCTTCTCCAATGGCTTGTTATGCTGCTGTTATGCTGTTATGCTGTGATCATTCCTCACCAGCAGAAACATGGAGAAACCCATTGCTTTGGCACTGAAATGGAAATCCTCAATAAAATCTAGCACTGCTGTCACCAAGCCAGCGGGTTTTATTTTCACTGACAGTTACATCTGCAGCTATTAAAATTAGTCTACAACATACGAAATATGTTGGTAGAAAATCTCCAATGATTCAACCAAGAATTTTGTACATTAAGTAAAATATTGTTTTTATATAAGAAGTGTGATAGATTACACCCTGTATATTATGCATTTTCTTCCAACATGGATTGATGATCCATCCATTATGAGAAAACTGCTTGTTCCTGTTAAGGTTGGGACAGTCCTGGGCCTGTCCCAACAGCATGACACACCAGGCTGCTCTATGAAAATTTTCATGCAGCTATATTTAGAAACATTGTCCAATTCCCAACCTAATACAGAAATACAGCACATACAGTATGTTTATGTACTACTTCCTGCAATGTTGTTTACTCACATGTTAGAAGTTATCAAAACTATTTTATTTAGATTAATTTAATTGTGTTATTGATTGTCCTTATTTGATTTTTTTGGAATGACTGCATCAGTTAATGTTTTGTGCTTTCTATAAGCCTCCCATCATGTTGCACAGCCTCTTGCACCAGAAAGCTTTTATCCTGGCCTGAATGGGAAAGCTCTTTTCTTTTACTTTCAACTGCAGTGCTGTCAAGACAAATGCCATCACCGTGGCAACAGAACCTTTCTCCATATTCTCCAGGACTCTGGAGATCAGGCCTAATCACGTGACCCGGATTCCAATAGACTCAATTGTGTTGGAACTGGGCCAAAGAAAACGCTGCTCCTGTCACACTGATTTATCACCAATCAGGGCTACTGCTCTCACAGTAAATGGGGTGAGGGCGCAGATGGTCAAGGCGTATGTGGCCTCCTCTGTCATGCTGAATTATGTTACTTGACTAAGTGACTAAGTAGGGGGAAGGGAATTAAAGTCTGTGTTCATCCACCCCCTGGAACCTAAGGATGTGTAGGCAGGACTCTCCTACCCCAACTGTGTCCCTTGTTAAACAGCTTTTCTTATTCTTTATTTCAGAAGATAGATAAATTTGCTACAAATGGTCATTTATGGTGATAGCCCAGAAAACACACATTTATACAAAAATGCAGTTACTACAGGAAATTGAGTGAAGTACCTTGCTCAAGAGCATTACAGCAGCATCCCAACAGGGCTCTGAACTTGTGACACTGGTCTAAAATCCAGAGTCCTAACCTCAACTCCAAACTACAGCTCCTAATGACATTTGAGTGGTGCATTGATATTATCTGGGGGTGTCTGTCTTTAATAGAGCTGATTGTGCTAACCAAATTACTGCACCCGTTCCTAGCATGAAATGTCTGTATGAAAGTAATGTATTAAGACAAGCTAGATGGGAATATTTGCCCCTCACATGAGAGACACGGCTTCCTGTTCTAAACATGGAGGGAAGAGGAATGGTTGTACTCAAATATTTCTAAACGTTTTTATGGAGATAATGCAATTTGAAGTTTCCTGAGCTACATGGAATGCTGTGATATGCAAACACCGAACGAGAAATTAGAAATGCAAACAGTAAAGAGAAAAAAAGATATTATATATTTTTTTTATTACAAATTTTAGAATTCCCACTACTTATTACAAGTGCTTCCATAGAGTGCTTTATAACAGAGTGCGTAGCATACAACACAAGGACAAGAGCCACACGAAGGAGCTGTAGAGGGACTGTGCTGGCGGACCCCAGTTCTTCCCTGGAGAGAGAGAGTTATCATTAGATGATCCACATCTACATTTAAAATAGATCATCTGAGAGAATTTACTGGTAAGAAAAAGTAACTAAGATCTCTTTTAAAAATATAACACAATTTTGTCATTCCCAAAGCTGATGCAATGGAACCATTTATTCTCTTACAATGAGTAGAGTGTTCAGTAGGATTATAGCCTAACAGCTGATAGTACTGCCACTTAAGCTGTAATGTTCTTAAGGCATATTTACATTTGTGTTTAGAACACAGATGTCAGCCCCAGCTTAACATTTGACAGCTCACTTCTTTGCAGTCTACCCATAAAATATGTTATGTTTTTTATTAAATCAAAACCCTAAGTGTGGTGCAAGCGTTATTTTATCCCACTGCCTTAAAAGAGACCCAAGAGGCCATTGAAACCAGTTTTCCAGGACTCCCAATAAAACACTACCACTGTTCTCAAAAAGCCAGCTTATTTCACAGGACTATGGACACCTTTTCTAGGCAGGGCCAGGTGTGAGTGTTATACCTCTGTGTTCCTGGATCAGCTCCCCTTCGTACTGTGCCAAGGCCACTGCAAGTCTCTGTTCGCTGCTCAATTCCTCCCACTGCTCCTGGGTCACTGCCTCTGCCTGCTCAGGACTCAGCCAAGACAGCTGGACAATACTGAGCACTACCTGAGAGGAGGAGAGGGGAGAGAGAGGGTCTGGGGACAGTCTGAAACCACCGTTTTCTCAGCTGACACCTGAGGAAACTTGTACAGCTCACTCTGTTCAGGAAGCCAAGGCCTCATGAACCTTGAAGGATCTCCTACTATTCCAATGTGCTTGCCTGTGCCCTCATTCCCAAGACAAAGGTAGATAAAAGTTTTGCAAACAAAATGACAGTCAAGTGGTAATTGTGATTGATGTGGGAAACCTATGTGTGATTATGTGGGAACTGTGTTACTCAACAGAATGAGGTCTCCTTATTTTGGAGTTAATTGGCCAAACAGTCCTTAAACTTAGTAATAGGCTTAAGAAGCCATGTTTCACCAAGCAGCTGATGACCCTCCTGTGGGTTGGAAGCTTATTACAGGAACATGTCAGGTGTAGAAACATCTACAATGTCGTGACGCAATCAATAAAATAAGCAGTTGGAGGTCTTGAGGTCTTCTTGGTTTACACAGGAAAGGCATTGTTTCAGATATTAAATATATACTTATTAGAATGATATTTACTTAATTTGGAGTTGATTGGATAAACATTTTTTGAGTGGGAGAACTTTGTGTGTGACCATATTGATGGACCATATTGATTCCACAGTTGTTTGTGTGTCACAGATGCAAAGCTTAATTATAGAGATGTGCCCCTGGCCAAACAGGATCAGCCAGGCGAGTTAGTGCAGAGTATAAGTGAAGAGTGAGAATGGGGAAGAGTTCTGGGTTGCGGAGAAGAGGGTGAGAGAAGTCTTGCTGAAGAGAAAGAATGTAGAAGAGTATAAGAGAGGAGTGCAGTAGGAATGAGAGAGGGAGGGGTATGAGGGTGTGAATAAGGTGTCATGCCAGCAGTGTGCAGTGTAGATGAGGAATGTAAAGAAATAAGAGCTGGCAGTGTCACACTCCCCTACTAGATATTTTGAGGATACAGCAGAACCAAGACATCCTATGATAAATACCTAGTGCTGAAGCACACTGACAGTTTAAAAGAAAAAAATGTATGTTTTTACATATACCTGTGATAACTATTGCAGCGTCTTTGTGAAATTTATCGGTCTAGCAACAGACTGCTTTGACAGCTATTGAACAGTTCTACGTGTGGCTGCTACAGGATTTGTTTGCTTTTTTTTAAGTGTCAGCTTTGCACAACATTCATTGTGTTAAAATCTTGCAATATGAAACAAACAGGTAACTTGCTCTGTCACCAACATGTATTTTTACAGCGTTATTGTACAAGAGGCTATCGTGGTGTATCATATTTATCATTTATGATAAAATCGCTTGCAGTCCGGAAAATTCTAATGCTAACTTGTGACAATGTGAGCGATGGCTTCTGATCTCTCAGGATCGGGAGATAAACTATCTCAGGATCACAACTTAGGGGGTGAGAATGTTGAGTTACTGGGATAAAGTATCATGAGATCTGGAATTTCTAACCACTTCGTCCACTTCAGGGTGACAGGGGAGCCAGAGCCAATCTCAGCAAAAAGTTATATTTACAAATAATATTTAAACATTATGAAAGCTTTCCATTCACACAATATGGCCACTAATATTAATAAAAAGGAAAAGGTATTGAAAATCAGATTGGTAGCGTGTGGTGTGACTCACAGCCAGCTTGCTGGGAGGGATCAGGGCAATGGCAGCTGGAGTCAGTCCCTCTATCTGTTCCCTGACCAGTGAAGACAGCACAATGTCCGGCAATCCGACTGAGGGGAAACAAAGGTCACTCAATTCCGTGCTTGTTTCCTTTTATTCGTCTGACATGTTAGAAGGAACTGCAGAACAAATAAATAAACCCAACTTTCTACAATTTTTACATAACTAGTAAAGGATTTTTCAGAACACAGCCTCACAGTAGAATGCCGAGTCCTGGAGCACAGAAACAGCTTGTGTTGTAAAGCAGCAGGTTGCTCAGTAAAGTTCGAAAGGCACTGACTGGCTTTGAAAAGTGGGACAATTTCCTGCCTGGCAGTAAAGAGAGAGAGAAGGCTGTACCTGCCAGTGTCCCAATCTCAGTGAAGACCTCGGAGCCCCACTCACTAACTGGCCCGAAAGCCTGTGGACTTGTCAGCCGAAAGGACAGAGACTCGGACTGCAGCTCTGAACACGGGAGGGACAGTTCTCTGAGGAACAGGGCCGCCACACTGGCAGGGAGAGGGAGAGAAGGGGTGTCAGACAAGAAGGGGAGAGAGAAA